TTTATTTGGTATTCGAATACCTATCAATTATATTATCAAATTTTCACATGACCGCATAATTTTGCAAAGAGCGATAATAATTCCGCCATAGATATATCTGTATAAATTGCTAAATATTTAACTTTATATATCAATGCATTATAATTATATTATAAAGGCCTACTTGAGAATAATTTCGAATATCTGAGCAGAAATATTTGGTTTAGTAAAAATCTTATTATTATCATCACTTGGAACTGTAGTTTTTAATTCTTTATTAAAGTATGATGAACGATAACGTAAGACAGACGAAGGTTTTTTTTTATTTTATTCTTGGCCAACTTCAATAATAACACTCTTTATCATTAAGAAGTTCTGAAAAATCTTGAGATAACTTTTCTAAAAATTTAAACGCCATTTTTTTTTTTGGAATTTAAATATCTTTTCGTAATTTTAGAAGGTTTGAGGTATCAAGTTCAAGTTTTTAAACGCTTACTCATCATCGTTACATCCGAAAAATAGTTTGGGCTAATAAATGTCAGACAAAATTCCTTGCAACTAGATTCTAGTTTTAATACATCCACGTCATCCGTTCTACGTTCTACAATTTATATAATACTAACGAATACTCATGCCATTGAGCACATGAATTATTTCTAATTTATTTTTTTTATGATTTTTGATGATAAAAATTTTTTTTTTTACTATGTATTTACAATAATAATATTGCAAGTATTATGACATCGCCAAAGTAGAAATGAATAATATCAGAAAAATTCTAAGATACAGTATAGTTTTAATTTAACACTGAATTATATAATTTTATAGAAAAGTAAAATGATATTAAAATAATATTGCAGGTACAATGATCCAAATATATTTCAAAATAATATTATGTATATAGTTTTATAACTAAGTACACGCACGATTTAATTTTATTATTTATTTTTAATTAATTCATTATTAAAATAATTTTTAATAAAATATAATAATCATTATGATAATGATTTACATAGGTAGAGATAGTGAACTTGTAAATTTGTATTTTAAAACCGGCATAGCTTCGAGATAACGAACTTCTTTCCGAAATTCCATCGAAAATCCATAAAGAGAATCGCAAGAATTGAATAGTATAATAAATAAATAAATGAATGGTTAAAAAGAATTGAATTGTAAAAATGATATTCATATTTCTTTCAATTTTCAAGACAATTAATAAATTTTTTTTTATTATCTGACATTATAAAACTCGCACTACAAATTCAAAAATTTAAATTCCGTAATCAAATATCTCTCGGTATTAATTATCCCTACTTTATTATAATATTGAAAACATTTTAAATTAATTAATTATAATTATTTATAAATTAAATAAACTTATTCAAATTATTTATTTTTTTAATGTAAAATTTATTTGAGTCGTCAAATTGGTAGTGTCATTATTTTTACTTTCGGAATCCTTAAATGATAATCAATATTAGAAAATCTACCATCAGTTGTTTTAATAGATTTCTCTTTTTACACTAACTTCGCTTGTCCTGAGTAAAATTAGATACATACAACTAATGCTATCATAGATTCGAAAATCTCCAAAATATCTTTAAAAGGAGATTTCACCTTTTTTAACTCTACTAAGAATTTAATTTTGAATATTGCCATCTTTAAATGAAAGAAAAAAAAAACACTTATTTGTTTTCATAGTATAAAATTTTGGTTTATCCCAAGCTAAGGATTAAATCACCAATAATTTCGTCTGTACCTTTAACTTTAGTGACCACAATCGTAGTAACGTTGCCAATCACGAAAGTTATTGGAGTAAATCCGTCTTCTTTACTTCCTGAAGAATTAATTGATATTCATATGGATTATTTTTTAACAAATAACTTGTTCATCGATTATCAATCCAGGATTAAAAGTATTGCTGTATATTCTTTAAAGTAGAAAATGGTTCTTGTTGGAAACTCTTGAGTTAAATGAATCTTGGAGGCGAAAGGATAATAGATTTACTGATCCCCAGGAAATTCCAAGTAAAATTATCTTCCTAAAATTATTATTGATTTTTTTTAAAGAGAGAAAATTTATTAGACTTTCAAATCATTTCATAATTTATCAAGAATTTTCTTATGCGGCTTACTTTATCCATGACATCTGAACTTGAAGCGCGAAAATTCTCAAAATTTCTCATTTGAGACGCCTCCTGTTTGACAATTTATTTAACACTCTAATAAATATGTAATGAATAATATTATTTAAGTGGATTAAATGTGTATTTTTTAAACTTACTCTCTTAACAATAGCACAAAACAAATCAAATCATGTTTATCATTTGAAGGTAAAAATAAATTTTTGTTTAATCTGATATGTAAATTAATAATTATAAATGCATGGTGAATTAAAAATTCATAAAATACAAATTAACAAAAGAATAGTATTATTAATAATAAAATTTTCTCAAACATCATTAAACATCATTATTTAGTTTATTTAAAGTTTTCAATATAGTTTTAAAATTTTGTTCTAATCTTGTCTCCAAATTATTAAATCTTATCTCCAGGTTATTAAATCTTATCTCCAGGTTATTAAATCTTTCTTGAATTAATAATCGATCATCAACATCTGTAGCAGGATCTGGATAATTACTTGATTTATTATACTTAAATAATTTGCTGTTTGATTTTTGCGATTTCTTATTCATTTTTGAAGTAACAACTTTTAACAGAAAAATTTCTTCATCAATAACTGAAATTTTATTAATAGTAACAGGTATAATAGAATCCAAATTCACTGTACTTTCAGAACCTTCATGTTTATGTCGATATTTTATTGAAAAGGCTGAATTATCTAAATTTATAATAAAATTTAAATAAACTAAATTCATCTTAAGATCGAAAATGTTTTGCAAGAGAATAAACTTATTATTATCAATTACCTTGATTATCAGCAGCATCGTTGTCATCATCGTCATCGTCACCATCATCATCATCGCTATCAACATCGCTATAATCAAAATCCACTAAATTCTCACCCATAAGACGTAATTTTTGTTTCTCATCCTTTTTAGTTTCTGTAAGCCAGTTATCAATTACGTCGGGATCAGGGATATAATAAATGTATCGAGGATTACCTCTTATACTACCAAAAGGTTTTTCTAAAGACTCGTAATCAGCAACAAGTTCAGCACGATATTTATGAGCTGCTGTACGACTATGTTTATTTGCCTTATCAAATGTGTCACTATAAAATTAAGAGAAATTAAGTTTTAACAAAAAAATTTTTTTTTTAAAACCTTTATAACTTTCAGATAATTTTTATAATGCATACGGTTTACAATGATAATTAAATAATATATCTTACTTCATAAATGCGATCAACATATTTTGGAAAATTAACACTAATGTCATACTTCCCAGTATACTTATTACACTTACAGCGTAACTATCCCATTGGTCTAATTGATCCCATCGTCCATTAATCCAAAAGAATACAGCTTCTACTGATGAGAAGAAATTTGAATAATAATTATCAAATAGGGAAGATTTATCAATATTCTGATAAATTGTAATATTTGAATATAAGTCAGGATTTGAAGTGTCACTAATTTTATAAGTAGGAACTTGTAAGTTATCCGCATAATTAAGAAGAATGAACCTGAAGATGATAGTAATAAAAAAAATATAATTAAAAGAAATAAAAATAAAATAATTAGTAATGTTTAAAATACTGAAAGCAAAATTCATTAATTATTATAATTACATAGCGTGACCAAATGCAAGTACGGCAATCAACATAAATGCAAAGAATGGCCAAATAGTATTTAAAATGTTCATAATGATATATATAAAACGTCCTGGACCTTCAAAATATCCCATTAGTAATAGCTATAAATAAATAAAATAATATTAATGGAATAGGGAATAAAATAATAATAAAAGTACAAAGAGACAAAAAAAAAGACTGACAAATTGAAGCCACATAACTAAAACTATAAACGCTAAAACCGAGTTAAATATTGAATAACTCAAAATGATTACTTGATGTTCATATAAAAAACTCGCCAATGGTAATAACACTGATAATAGATCACACAGCATATATCTACGCCAACCTTTTCTTTTAAATAGTACAATCTCTGTAACAATTAAATACCATCCAGTATATAAATATACTAAGAGACAAATTGTTAATAATATATTTGAGTCTATTTTAAATAAATTAACTATTGATGATTCTCCCTTGAAAGAATATGAAATAATTGTTACAGTATAAGAAATAGCGTAAAATATATAAATAAAGATATGACGAATAAAGTATCGACGGGCTTCTGACCATTTAAAATCTAAGACTGCCATAATTGTAGGTGTTTGAAAAATTTCATAACCTTTCTCTTCATGAATAACGCGTAGGAAAGGACTCATTTCTTTAGTATTATTAATAACTTTTCTACGTGGCCAAAAAGATATTCGAAAAAATGCAAATAGAGAATATTTTGAATAATTTTCACTATGATCTTCACGAACTTTGGGGTCTTTGGGGTATACTGTAAAATCAGGTAATGGGACTATATAAACTTTACGATCATTATGTGAAGCTTCAAACCTATTAATCCTATTATAACATTTTAAGCCAATTTTTTAAAAAGAGAATTAGTAAAAGACAAAGTGACCTAACTCTCTTTATGATCTGTATTAATATAATTACCTTTTAAATAGGTTTTCTAAGAAAATCCATATAGTATTATGGAACTTTGGTGCAAGACACGGTTTTACTGCCAAAGAATGTATCACAGCTGCGTTATTTCCTTTCTTTTGATCATAAGGATTAATATTCAATGGTGGAGTGTAAGCTTCAGTAGTCCCAAAACATGGTTTTTTGAATAAATATTGAACAAATTCACCTTTTGAGAAATAAAAAAGAAGATTTAATTCAATTTGAAAGTAACCAATTGATTTAATATAATTAATGAAAGTAAGGATTTCAAATTACTTAATTGAGAATCATATAGTAAAGGTATTGCCTCGCTTATGGTAAACATCCAACCATGATTATTATATTCTTTAGCATTATCAGCATAATAATCTATTAAATATTTTAAAATTACTTTAGGGTCTCCCCTTTGAATACATAAAATAGCATGATGTAAATCTGACTTTGATATCTCTGTTGTTGATCTATTATTATCTTCATATGCCTCCCACTTATATAATCTCGGTATATATATATTACTATGCTTATTATTAATTTTCACATTTAAAATATGTTTGATTAAATTTTCTTGATAACTTTTAATAAGATATTTCATAATTGGATATCTAATACTAGTTAATCTAAATATTCCATATTTTTTGATATATTTTCGTACTAATCTTTCTGTGCATTCAATTAAATATTTAACTTGATAAACATTTTCATGACCTGTTACAATATGTTTCTTCACGCTTAAAACATAGAGGGCTCGACATGCCCCTTCAAGAACATTTACATTATTTGGCCAATGTATCGTCATTGATTTTGGTGGTGTGAAACGCTTAGTAGAAGGTATTAAAACTTTTAAAACGAATTCTCGTTCTCCAATTCTTAGTTCTTGAACATCAATTACTTTTTTCCGAGCCCATATGTATTCTAATACTCGATCACGACGTCTATCTCGTTTTTCTACAGTAGTATTATTACGATATTTCCATACTTGTATAGTGTTCCTCGAAATAATTAGTTGAGTACTTTCAGTAAAATCTAAGTAAACTGATAATCGAAAATAACCATCATTTGGATGCCATGGTTCGACATTATAAATAATTGTTCGATTTTTTACTAATTTTGATGCGTCGGGCCTTTTCCCATTTATACTATACATTTCATTATAAACGTGATCCCCCGTAATAATATCAATTTTAGTCATTTCCTTTGTTGAAGGACTTCTAATTAAAGCAACATCTTTATGGTCTAATACTGAAATAATATCTCCACTATCTCTAACCGCAAACATATTTCCGGGATGATTCATTAATCTATGTGTGACATCCGTTTTTAGGGGTTTCTTAGTTTCGGAATAATCAATTTGACGTATAGAATTTTCAAATGTGGTAAATAAATCCCATACCACAAATGTTTGATGCTTAAAATATTCACCTTGTCGATATTCTTTTTCTTCGAGAACTATTAAAAGTTTACTATCATCATCAATAAAATTTATAGCAATAATTTTATAAATTCCTCTTTGACCTTCTAATTGTTTAGTAGTAATTTCTAAACCATTTTCCATTAAGTATAATGTAATGCTGGTAGTTCCCCGACAAAATGCTAAAATTTTTTCATTTTGAGAGATGGCAAAGATAGGTGAACCATGAATTATGTTAGGAGCTAACGAAGATTCATGACGTTTAAATAACATCTCTAGATCACCAGTAATTAAACTATACATTTCAATGATTTGTTGTCGATTTTCAAAAGATTGTACCATAAAATGATTTTTAATAATACTTATGTGTAAGAGTTCTAATGAATTATGCCAATGATCACGTGAAAGGCGAATTGAAAGTTGCTGGGGTAATTCGTATTGTTTAATCATCTTGGCTGGTCGTAAGAAAAATCCTTGTTTTCTTTTTTTCCGTTTCATAGTTTCTTTAAAAATTCCCGAAGCATTAACAATAATAATTACTGTTTTTTTTTTTAATAATAAAAGTTTTTCACTTTCATCATTATGATCACTATTATCACTATCATCACTATCGCTTTCATCACTATCATTATTATCATCCCAATCGAGAAATCTTATAACACCACCAATAGATTCTAAAGTATGTATTTCACTTCTTTCTTTAGCAGAGATAACCCATGTTTGACAGTTATTACCATATTTTAAGTCATTTTCGTCATCACGATTGCAAGATTCTAAGTCATTTTCGTCATCGCCATATTTGTTATTAACTTTATCACCAAAGTCTATGTCATTTTTGTCATCACCGTGAATTTTATCATGACGAAATCCTCTTGCATCAAAACAAGATAAAGCGATAAGATATTCAATTTTATCATCGTCTAAATAATTTGATATTGCTAGAGACCAACAAAGGTGTTTATCATGTTCACCATTAAATTCACTTCCAAGTGTAAAAATACGTTTACTTGAACTTAAATCATTAATATTAATTAACTTCAATTCGCGCGTTTCTATTATTTTAATTATTTTATTGAATTATTAAAGATTTATTAAAAAATTATTAAAAAACTAATACTAAAGATAAAAGAAATAATCGACATAATAATTAATAAATGATTAATAATTAATTACCTTGACTAAAAGTAATAATTCGTTGACTGTCTGGACTTATCGCTATGCAACTACCGAAAAACAGAGAATCATTCTCTATGGAGTTCGTTACCGAGGAAACTTCGTTATTTTCATTAAGAAAACTTGAATGAGATTTTTTTGACATGTGGAAGGAAATTTAATAGTATTTGCACCGACCGGTTTACTTATTTGTTTAAAAAATCATACAAAAATTCCATTGATATACAAATGAATGCCCTATATGTAAATAAAAAAAAAAAAAATTATATAGGATTATCAAGCTGCAGGTAGTTTTTTACATTTTGAATAAACTATTGAAAAATGTAACAAACAATTCATTTTTTTTTTTTAAGTTTCAGCCTTGAGACTTTATTATATTATTTTATTGCCATTTTTTCTAATATTGTAAAAAAAAAAAATGGTTATTAGATAATTTTATTTTCATGAAATTTCGAAAGATTACACATGTAGAGTTTCCTAACCCTAAAAATTTCTATCCATACAATTAAATTTCACTCGAACTTTCTTAAAAAGAATTAAATGAAATTTTTAATATTTCACTCGAACTTTCTTAAAAAGAATTAAATGAAATTTTTAATTTAGTTCATTCAAATAGTATATTTTTATTGATTTGCATAATATTTTCTTGTTTTTGCCAAATAAGTATATAAACATAGACTTGAATTTTTAATTAATGGTAGTACATTTTCTTAAATTTAGATAAATAAGGTTAGATTCTTTTGTATTTAATTATATTCTTTATCCGATTTAGTATCACTTGCCTAATTTCTATTACTTGATTTATTTCTTGGATAGAATCACAAAAATAATAAATATTTTTTTTTTTAATAAAATAATTTTGCAACAAATATCACAATTATATTAAACAAGCTTTCGTAGAAATGAATTTCGTTTTTTTTAAAAAAAAAATCCGAGTTGATAGCGAAGAAAATTATTGTTCTAATCTTAAAAAAATATTGATAGAATTTTTGACGTAGTAAAGAATTGCATTGTGTTCTCAATTCGGAAACGGAAACTTTTTTGATTTGCAAATCTTTATTACATTTATTTTTCTATATCATCATTTACTAAAAAATTTAATGCGAAAAAAATAAATGATTTATTCTTTTTTATTTTATTATCCAAAAATACGAAAATAAAATATTTTATTATTTATTCTTCAAAAAATTCACCAAAGACAAAGCGTATCATTTTTTTATTTAATCGAAATAAGTATTATTATTTATTTATTTTATTTTTTATTTAATGAATAGATTATATTTTTCATTTAATTCTGAAAAATCTTTAATTTACATCAAGTGCCTTTGTTAACTTTTCTAAAAGGAATTTTAAATTTTAAATTTGTAGCACAAGTTTTGTAATTTTATCTATTTTCAAATAAAGAAAAAATGTCAAGAAATAAAAATTTATTTTTATACCAATGAGCTATTTATTAAAATCCATTCATTTCCTTTACCAAAAAAATTCCAACGTGAAAAAAAAAAAATTGATCTAATTACATTAATCTATAAAATGATTTTTTTACGAAAATGATCATACCCGCCGCAAAGTATAAGCACATTTCATCAAAAATTCATTTTTTTTTTTTATTTTATTCATAGAGTAAATACCATACCAAGATTGCTTTTCGCATTTACTCTAAATATGTATTATTATTTTAAACGTATGTAGCTTCAATAATTACAAGACAATGTAATGAAAATAAATTTTTATTTTCATTTATTTTTTTTTTTTTTTGTAATTAACCTTGAATATGTATTTCGTCAATAATTCTATAAAATTGAATACCATCACTATTAAAAAATGACCTGGTGATCGTTAAAGGAACAAATCGATCATACCACAAAGTGCATCTCATAACTTCAGGCTTTGATGCAGCGACTTAACACTATGGTTATGGTTACGGACCAAGCGAAAAAAAAGAAAAATAAATAAAATGCACTTTGAAAAATAAAAAAAAAAATAAAATTATTTATTTCACCTTTTCCGATTTTCCTTAAAAAGCCCTCAAACTATTTATAATTCGTTAGTTCTTTGTTTCTTTTTTTTGTTATGAAACAAAAAGAATTATTGCCATTTCTACTACTCAACCGATGTAAAGTAATTATATTACATTTTAAGGTTTACCATAAATATTTTCATATTTCTTTCTTCTCTTTCTACCAAATAAACCAAATAAGGTAATCTTGTCGATGATTTTCTCTACTTCATTTCGACGACGCAATATATTCTTTTATTAATGCACAGTCATACCAAGTATCTATTAGATGTTGAGTTTGAGATATATCAAACATTATAACTATTGCATCATAAATTTTTAATTTATCATATCTATTATGATATGATCGCAAATATTCCTAAACGTCCTTTGAGCGAATCCATCTATGCTTCCTCGAAGAATTTCTCGAAATTCATATGAATTGTTTCTTGAAGAATAAATTGTTGGTTGATTACCAATTCATGATGAAATCATTGCTGTATGTTCTTCATTAATGATAGTTGAAAATGGTTCATTTACTCTTACTGGTAGTTCTTGAATTAAAATTGATCTTGATGGAAAGATAATGGATTTTATTGGTCGATCTGGCAGTATAAGATGCTGGCTGCTTCAAATCATTCCATAACTGTTCATCAAAAATTTTCTTATATGGCTTAATTTTGTCCATAACATATGAATTTGAAATGTAAAAATAACGAATAAGCGGCAAGCATTGATGTAGAGTCGTTTTTAAAGTAATAAGGTTTTCATCAGACCATTATTCTAATTCCTCGGTAAAGTAGTATTCAGTGTTAGTTCTCCGCTTAATTATATAATCCCAAATTTCTTATTATTTCATGTGTAAGACATTACGTTTAAAATTGACACTAAAGCAGATTCATGAAGAGAAGTAATTCTGCGGATTCAAAATATAAAATAGTGCTCAGATGTTTTGTAATAAAATCATTACAAAACTTTTTAAAGAGCTTTAAATACAATTAGATAATTTTCTAATCTGTTAGATAATTAACTTTATATATCTTACATAAAAGCTCACTTGAGAATAATTTCGAATATTAGAGCAAATATTAGGTTTAGTGATAATCTTAATATTATCATTAAAGACAGACGAATATGCAGTGAAGGTTTTTTTTTATTTCGTCTTTGGTCGACTTCAATAATAACATTATATTCTTCTTTATTGTCTAGAAGGTCTAAAAAGTCACGAGATAACTTTATAAAAATTTAAATGCCATTAAATTAGAATTTAAATTTCTTTTCGTAATTTTAGAAAGATTTGAAGTACAAACTTTAAATTTATCAAGATTTTTAAGAGTTTATGCATCATCGCTACATCCGAAGAATAATTTTGGACTGTGCTCGTAAACATTCCATTCCTTCGTTTTTTATCTCTTATGAAATTATGCTTTTGGTCACTATACTTTTTATTTTGTGAATTCTTATTAAATTAGATAACTCATTATAAAACTAGGAATAGATTTTTTTAATGATTGTTATAAATAGTATTCTTTAATAACTTAGCTTATCTTGAAGATACATCTAATGCCATTGTGAATTCATATCCTCTAAAATATGCACAAATTTATCTTTAAAGTGGAATTCATCTTATTTAACTCTTATAAGAATTAATTTTGAATAATACTATTTTAAATGAAAATATAAAATTCTTATTTATTCTCATCCACTCCTTTATTGTTTTATCCCAAGCTAAGGATTAAATCCACGAATAATTTCGTCTTTTCCTTTAACAATAGCGGTCACAATTGTATTAGCGTACCCGCCACAAATATCCCAAAAAATTTGGAACAAATCCGTCTTTACATCCGTGAAGTGTTAATTGAATTTCATATGGATTATTTCTTGAAGAAGGTGTATGTTCTTTATAGTAGAAAATGGTTCATTTTCTCTGGTTGGCAACTCTTGAGTTAAAATCAATCTTGGTGGAAGGATGATAGATTTTATTGGTCTTTGAAAAATTGATCATTCTTTAAAGAGAGAATTCATTAGGTTTTCAAATTATTTCATAATTTATCAAGAATTTTTCTTATGCTTGACATTATCCATAACATCTGAACTTGAAGTGTGAAAATGAAAAATAAACGGTAAAATTGTTGTAGAGTTGTTTTTGACTTATTTTTAACTCCATTTCTCAAGTGATTCGGCCTCCCGCTTGACCATTTGGTCGAATCTTTAAAAAACATGCAATGAATAATAATATTAAGATTAAACTGTGCATTTTATTAAACTTACTCTTTTGGCAATGGTATTAAATAGGTCAAAATATAATATATTTATAAATACTAGTTATAATTATTGTTGAATTTTCATTTGAAGATAAAAATAAATAACTTTTATTTAATCTGGTATGTAAAATTGATATTATAAATGCATAATACATAGTAATAAAATCCATAGAATACAAATTAACAAAAAAAAGGATAAGATATTAATAATAATAAATTTTTCATAAAAATCATTAAAAATCATTATTTAGGTTATTTAAAGTTTTTAATATAGTTTTTAAATTTTGTTCTAAGTCATTAAATCTTATTTCAAAGTTATTAAATCTTTCTTGTATCAATAATTGATCATCAACATTTGTAGCAGGATCAGGATAATTGCTTGATTTATTATTCTTTAACAATTTTCCGTTTGATTTTTGTGATTTCTTGTTCAATTTTGAAGTAACAACTTTTAAAAGAAAGATTTCTTCATCAATAACTGAAATTTTATCAATGGTAACAGGTTCAATAGAATCCAAATTCATAGTACTTTCAGAATCATCATTTCGTATATGTTGATATTTCATTGAATAAGATAAATTATCTAAAATTCATAATAAAATTCAATTCATGTTAAGATCGAAGATGTTTTGCAAGAGAATAATCATATTATCAATTACCTTGATTATCAGCAGCATCATTGTCATCATCATCGTCATTGTCATCATCATTGTCATCGTCATCATCATCGTCATCAATATCGCTATAATCAAAATCTACTAAATTCTCACCCATAAGACGTAATTTTTGCTTCTCAACTTTTTTTGTTTCCGTAAGCCAAGTATCAATCATATCGGGATCAGGTATATAATAGATATATCGAGGATTACCTTTTTTACTATGAAAAGTTTTTTCTAAAACTTCATATTCAGCAATAAGTTCAGCACGATATCTATGAGCTACTGTATGACCAGCTTTATTTGCCTTATCAAATGTACCACTAAAGATTAAGAGAAATCAAGTTTTAATCTAAAAATTTTTTAAAACTTTTATAATTCACACAGTTAAAATGATAATTAAATAATATCTTACTTCATAAATGCGATCAACATATTTTGGAAAATTAACACTAATGTTATACTTCCCAATATACTTATTACACTTACAGCGTAACTATTCCATTGGTCTAATTGATCCCATCGTCCATTAATCCAAAAGAATACAGCTTCTACTGATGAGAATAAATCCGAATAGTAATTATCAAATCGGGAAGAATTATCAATATTCTGATAAATTGTAATATTTGAATATAAGCCAGGATTCGAAGTGTCAATAATTTTATAAGTAGGAATCTGTAAGTCATCCGCATAATTAAGAAGAATGAACCTGAAGATGATAGTAATAACAAAATATAATTAAAAGAAATAAAAATAAAATAATTAGTAATGTTTAAAATACTGAAAGCAAAATTCATTAATTTTATAATTACATAGCGTGACCAAATGCAAGTATGGCAATCAACATAAATGCAAAGAATGGCCAAATAGTATTTAAAATGCTTATAATAATATAAATAAAACGTCCTGGACCTTCAAAATATCTCATTAGTAATAACTATAAATAAAATAAAACATCATTAATAACAAAATAATAATAAAAGTACAGACAGAGATAAAAAAAAAAAAAAAAAAGACCGACCAATTGAAGCCACATAACTAAAGCTGTAAACGCTAAAACAGAGTTAAATACTGAATATTGCAAAATGATTACTTGATGATCATGTAAAAAACTCGCTATATTATCTGCTAACGGTAATAATACTGATAATAGATCAAACATATTATAAACATTCATATATCTGCTCCAACCTTCTCTTTTAAATTGCACAATCTCCGTAACAATTAAATACCATCCAGTATATAAATATACTAAGACGCAAATTGTTAATAATATATTTGAGCTTACTTTAAATAAATTAACTATTTTTGATTCTCCCTTAAAAGAATATGAAGTAATTGTTACAGTATAGGAAATAGCATAAAATATATAAATAAAGATATGACGAATAAAGTATCGACGGGCGGCTGACCATTTAAAATCTAAGACTGCCATAATTGTAGGTGTTTGATAAATTTCATAACCTTTCTCTTCATGAATAACGCGTAGGAAAGGACTCATTTCTTTAGTATTATTAATAACTTTTCTACGTGGCCACAAAGATATTCGAAAAAATTTAAATAGTAAATATTTTGAATAATTTTCACTATGATCTTCATGAGCTTTGGGATTGAAGTCTTTGGGGCATACTGTAAAATCAGGTAATGGGACTATATAAACTTTACGATCATTATGCGAAGCTTCGAACCTATTAATCCTATTACAATATTTTATATCATTTTTTTAAAAATTAGCGAATTAGTAAAAGGCAAAGTGACCTAACTCTCTTCGTGATCTTTATGATTAATAATTATAATTACCTTACAAATAAGTTTTCTAAGAAAAACCATAGAGGATTATGGAACTTTGATGCGAGACGCGGTTTTACTACCAAAGAATGAATCACAGATGCATTATTTCCTTTCTTTTGATCATAAGGATTAATGTGTAATGGCGGAGTGTAAGCTTCAGTAATTCCAAAACATGGTTTTTTAAATAAATATTGAACAAATTCACCTTTTTAAAAAATTGAATGGATGAAATTTAATTAAAAGCGATTAATTAATCAATATAATAAATCCATCAGTATAAAAGACAGTATAAAATAAAGTATAGAAAGTAAAGACGACTTACTTAAACGATAATCGTATAATAAAGGTATTGCTTTACTTACGGTAAACATCCAACCATAATTTTTATATTCTTTAGCATTATCGGCATAACAATCTATTAAATATTTTAAAATTACTGTAGGATCTCCTCTTTTTTGAATACATAAAATAGCATGATGTAAATTTGACTTTGTTGATCTATTATTATTCTCATCCGCCCATTTATATAATCTCGGTATATATATATTACTATGTTTATTATTAATTTTCACATTTAAAATATGTTTGATTAAACTTTCTTGGTAACTTTTAATAAGATATTTCATAATTGGATATCTAATACTAGTTAATCTAAATATTCCATACTTTGTAATATATTTTCGTACTAATCTCTGTGTACATTCAATTAAATATTTAATTTGATTAACATTTTCATGACCTGTCACAATATGTTTCTTCTCGCTTAAAACATAGAGGGCTTGACATGCCCCTTCAAGAACATTTATATTATTTGGCCAATGTATCGTCATTAAATTTGACGGTGTGAAACGTTTAGTAGAAGGTATTAAAACTTCTAACACGAATTCTCGTTCTCCAATTCTTAGTTCTTGAACATCCATCGGATTTTTCCGAGCCCAGATGTATTCTAATTCTCGATTACGACGTTTATCTCGTTTTTCGTTGGTATTGTTATTATTGCGATATTTCCATACTTGTATAGTGTTACTCGAAATAATTAGTTGAGTACTTTTAGCAGAATCCAAGAAAATTGATGTTCGAAAGTAATTTTTGTTTGGATGCCATGGTTCAATATTGCTTATAATTATTTGATCTTTTTCACATATTTTCCCATCTATAGTACAAATTACATGATAGTCGAGATCATTCATCTTAAATTTCTTCAAATCAATTTTTAGTATATCTTTCCTTTCTGATGGATTTCTAATTGATTCAACATCATCACGATCTAATACTGAAATAATATCTCCACTATCTCTAACCGCATACATGCTTCCGGGATGATTCATTAATCTATGTGTAATATCCATTTTTAAGGGATTCCTAGTTTCGGAATAATCAATTTGACGTATGGAATTTTCAAATGTGGTAAATAAATCCCATATTACAAATATTTGATGCTCAGAATTTTCACGATGTCGATCTTTTTTTTCTTCAAGAACTATTAAAAGTTTGCTATCATTATCAATAAAATTTATAGCAATAATTTTATAGCTTCCTTTTTGACCTTCTAATTGTTTAGTTGTAATTTCTAAACCATTTTCCATTAAGTATAATGTAATGCTGGTAGTTCCCCGACAAAATGCTAAAATTTTTTCATTTTGAGAGATGGCAAAGATAGGTGAACCATGAATTATGTTAGGAGCTAACGAAGATTCATGACGTTTAAATAACATCTCTAGATCACCAGTAATTAAACTATACATTTCAATGATTTGTTGTCGATTTTCAAAAGATTGTACCATAAAATGATTTTTAATAATACTTATGTGTAAGAGTTCTAATGAATTATGCCAATGATCACGTGAAAGGCGAATTGAAAGTTGTTCGGGTAATTCGAATTGTTTCGTATTGGCTGGTCGTAAGAAAAATCCTTGTTTTCTTTTTTTTTGTTTTATAGTTTCTTTAAAAATTCCCGAAGCATTAACAATAATAATTACTGTTTTGTTTTTTAATTTTAATGGATTTTCACTATCATCGCTATGATCACTATTATCACTAACCTCACTGTCGCTTTCATCACTATCATAATTATCATCCCTATCGAGAAATCTTATAACACCACCAAATTCTAGAGAAGTACATATTTCACTATCTTTAGTAGAGATAACCCATGTTTGAGGTCGAAGACAGTTATCACCATATTTTAAGTCACTTTCGTCATCAACATATTGGCTATTAACTTTATCGCCAGATTCTAAGTCATTTTCATCATCACGATATTGGTTATTAACTTTATCACCAAAGTCTAAGTCATTTTCGTTATCACCATGCATTTCATCATGTCGGAATCCTCTTGCATCAAAACAAGATAAAGCGATAAAACGTTCAATTTCATCATCGTCTACACAATTTGAAATTGCCAAAGACCAACAAAGGTGTTTACCATGTTTAATATTAACTCCACTTCCAAGTGTAAAAGTACGTTCACCTGAACTTAAATCATTAATATTATATAAACTAAATTTGCGTGTCTCTATTATTTTAATTATTTTATGAATTATTAAAGATTTATTGAAAAACTATTAAAAGAAAATAATCGAAATAATAATTAATTAATGATTATTAATTAATTTTACCTTGACTAAAAGTAATAATTCGTTGACTGTCTGGACTTATCGCTATGCAACTACCGAAAAACAGAGAATCTTTCTCTATGGAGTTCGTTACCGAAGAAACTCCGTCATTTTCATTAAGAAAACTTGAATGAGATTTCTTTGACATGTTTTGTGAACATGACAGTTCAATGGAAGTAAATTAAATAAAAAAAAATCATACTAAAAATGACATTGATATGCACATTCAAAGAACCCTATATGGAAATAAAAATAGGATTATCAGGATGCAGTAGCAGGTAACCATAGAAAATGTATCTTTTTTTTAGTTACATAAAGTAACAAGCACATCATTAAAAAAAAAATTATTTTATTGCCATTTTTTTTTCTAATACCAGAACTATAAAGTTTATCAATGTTGTAAAAAAAATGGATTTTAATTTTAAAAAAATACTATTAATTTTATTTTCATGTGATTTCCAAATGATTACCAGGTCTAGGTTAAGGATCCAATTTGGCAATTAATTTCACTCGGGTGAGGAATACCTTTTCTTAAATGTAATTTTTAAATTTAGTTCACTCATCGAATATCATCAAATAGTACATATTAATTTATTTGAATTCTTTTATTATTTGTATAATATTTTCTTGTTTAGATTACTAAACATCTATTAACTTTGATATGCAATATGATTATATGATATGAAAACATAATAAGGCCATACGGAAGTTTTTAGGCGCAAATATCCGTAATATTACGATACCCTACGGTATTTATACGGGCCCTTTTTACTTTAAACCCGGAATATATCGGCGGATATCGGTGCTAAAAGGATAAATTCCTGTCATTTTATAGCCCAAAATCAGGGCTTTCGATCGGTCATAAGAACACCTTAATCAAAAAATTTTTTTTGGCGTAAAAATTACGTAAAAAATCCGAAGAGATTACGCGATTTGCGGGATTAAGGTGTTCTTATGACCGATCAAAAGCCCTGATTCTAGGCCATAAGATGCTGGTATAAAGTTAAAACGGCCTCGTACAAATACCGTAAGATACACGTGGGTGCCGTAATATTACGGAGATTTCGCCAAATAAGTTTCCTGATGAGAGATATAACTATTTTGTATATTAATAATTCCTTCTTATTTAAAGCACATCTATAAAGTGGCACTAGTTCTTTATGAAACAAAAATAATTGTTGCCATTTCTACTACTCAGCCGATGTAAAGCAATTATATTAGCATTTTAAGGTTTACCACAAATATTTACATATTTCTTATCCACTCTATTGCAAAAAGCGTTACCATTCCAAATGCTTTTTATTTTAGTACAAAATCTTTCTTCACTTGCTGCAAATAAGTTAATATCGCTTGATCTGTCGATGATTGTCATTCCAGTGCCAAAGCATCTATTAAATTTTGAGTTTGAGATGTATCAAACATTATAACTGCTGCATTATAATTTTTTAATTTATTATATCTATTATTTTATATACTTCAGGATTAAACTTGCCAAGTTATAAAAGAATTTTGGATTAACTTTTGTACCAAAATTCTCTATCGGTCTTGAGGATTAAACTTTGAACTTACTCTTCTGATAATTTATTTTTAGTCACATTAAAATAAAAGCCTCAATAAGAATAATGCGTATGCTATAATTGTTAATTTTAGATTCATAGTAAATTAAAAATTCGTATTAATTTAGAAATGGATCTATCCTTATTTTTATAATCCCGTTTCGGAACAAGAATGACATAGAAATCTTCATTAGATTCATTGAAGTTATTTTAAATCTCAATGATTACGAATAAATATACTGTAAATTAATTTATTTTTTTTTATTATTGTTACAATTAATAAAATAAATTGCAAATTAAAAATTAATAAAGTATTACAACCAAAAAAAAAAAGAGAGACTTTAAAGAGCTTTAAATACAAAAAAAAAATAATATGATTGCAATTAAACCAAAGAATAAATTGATTTTGTATCTAAAATAACTAGTCAATTTTATTCTAATTTCTATTTCCCCGACTAAATTAGCGAATTTAATTAGAGATTTTTTAACTTTGTTTAATTTAATTACGCAAATTAATGTTATATTGCAACGTTTGATACTATCTAACAACATAACTTTTTGAAATACATATAACAGATTCAAGTCAAATATCAGATAAATAGGCAAATTGACTGGAAATTCAATTCTTTATAATATAAAATAATTCTTATTACACATATTTATAATTATAAAAATAAAAGTAAAAAAAAGCTTTTTTAGATGGATTTTTCAATATCATCATGAATGCAAATATTGGTCTATAAGTATCTTTGTCATCAGGATACGTAAAAACGTAATTTCATTTTGAATTCACCAAGAATTGATTTTGAAAATTACCATCTTTAAATGAAAATATAAAGGTCTTATCTATTTTATCCACCCCTTTTTTTCTAAGCAAAGGGATTGAATCTACCAATAATCTCGTCTGTGCCTTTAACTTACCGTCTTAAATACCAAAATTTATTGGTCTTTATTTCCTCGAATAATTAATTGAAATTCATATGGATTATTTCTTGAAGGATAACTTGTTTGTCAATTATAAATCCAGATAAAAAACATTATTTCTGTATGTTCTTTATAATTGAAAATAGTCATTTGCTCTTGTTTGCACCTTTTGAGTTAAAATCAATCTCAGTGAAAAGTTTACAGGCACCAGAAAATTGACAATTCTTGATTTTTTTAAAGAGAGAATTTCATTAGGTCTTCAATCATTCCATAATTGGTTATCAAGAATTTCCTAGCATCTGAACTTGAAATGTGAAATAACGAATAAGCGGTAATAATTGTTTTATTGTATTTTTTTTATCGCTATTTCACACCTCTTGTTTGACCATTTATTTGATAAATGGGTAATGGAAAAGATTAAACTGTGCATTTATTAAACTTACCCTCCTTTCAATGTTTTAAATAAATGTTTAAATACAAATTATGATGATTTCATTAGAAGACAAAAAATATATTTGTTTAATCTGATATGTAATCGTTAATTGTAAATACATAAATAAATGCATAAATACATTGTAAACTAAAATTCATAAAATAAAAATTAACATAAAAAAATAGAAAATTTCCAAAATTCACTAAACATCATTTAATTATTTAAAGCTTTTCAATATAGATTCTAAATTTTGTTCTAATTTATCAAATCTTGTCTCTATATTATTAAATTTTTCTTGTGTCTTCAATATAGTTTTTAAATTTTGTTCTAATTCATCGAATCTTTTCTCCATGCTATCAAATCTTTCTTGTATTGATAATTGATCATCAACATTTATAGTAGAATCTGTATAATCTTTGATACTTGATTTATTATTCTTTGATAATTTGTTGTTCGATTTCTTATTTCTTTGTGATTTCTTTGTGGAATCGAAGATTTCTTCATCAATGAATGTAATTCTATCAAATTTATCAAAACATTTGGTTATTCTAGGTTTAATAGTACTTGAAGAACCTTCATTTTGTATATGTTGATATTTTTTTGAATAAGATGAATTATCTAAAATTTAATAAATAAACTTAATTCATGTTAGAATTAGGGTTGAACCATTTTTGAAAGAGAATTAATATACAAATTCTTATTATCAGTAATCACCTTGATTATCATCTTCCTTGTCATCATCATCGCTATAATCAAAATCTGTTGAATCGGTTAATTCTGCAAAAGTCTCACCCATAAGACGTAATTTTTGTTCCTCATCCTTTTTGGTTTCTTCAAGCCAAGTATCAATCATATCAGAATCAGGTATATAGTAAATGTATCGAGTATTACCTATTTTATTACGAAAAGGTTTTTCTAAAGCTTCATATTCAGCAATAAGTTCGGCGCGATATCTATGAGCTACCGTATGACCTTCTTTATTTGCCTTATCAAATGTACCACTATAGAATTAAAAGAAATCAAAGTTATAATTCGAAAAATTTATAACTTTCAAATAATTTTATAATTTATAATAATAATTAAAATATAAACTTACTTCATAAATGCAATCAACATATTTTGAAAGATTAACACCAATATTATACTTCCTAGTATACTCATTACATCTACAGCATAACTATCCCATTGATCTAATTGATCCCATCGTCCATTGGTCCAAAAAAATACAGCTTCTACTGATGAGAAGAAATTTGAATAATAATTATCAAGTCGGGAAGATTTATCAATATCCTGATAAATTGTTATATTTGAATATAAGTCTGAATTCGAAGTATCATTAATTTTATAAGTAGGAATTTGCAAGTCGTCTGCATAATTAAGAAGAATGAACCTGATGATGATTAAAATAATAAAATATAATAAAAATATAACAAAATTTAACAATAAATCAGTAATGTTTTAAAATAAAGAAAACGAAATTCATTATAATTATTATAATTACATAGCGTGACCAAATGCAAGTATGACAATCAACATGAATGCAAAGAATGGCCAAATGGTTCTTAAAATACTTTGAATGATATAAATAAAACGTCCAGGACCTTCAAAATATCTCATTAGTAATATCTATAAATAATATATATATATTAAAATAGAGAATAAATAATGACTATAAAAATAATAATAAAATACTAAAAAATTTATTTCTTTAAGAAAGTGAGAAAAAAAGATTTACCAATTGAAGCCACATAACTAGAGCCGTAAACGCTAAAACGGGGTTAAGTATCGAATATTGAATAATGAGTACTTGACGATAATATAAAATACTCGCTATATTATCCGCTAACGGAAATAACACTGATCCTAGATCAAAAATATTATAAAAATTTATATATCGATACCACCCTTCTCTTTTTAATTGCACAATCTCTGTAACAATTAAATACCATCCAGTATATAAATATACAAAGAGACAAATTGCTAATACTATATTTGAATCTATTTTAAATAAATTAATTATTTTTGATTCTCCGTTAAATGAATACGAAATAATTATTATAGTATACGAAATAGCATAAAAAATATACATAATAATATGACGAATAAAGTATAGACGGGCAGCTGACCATTTAAAATCTAAGACTGCCATAATTGTAGGTGTTTGATAAATTTCATAACCTTTCTCTTCATGAATGACGCGTAGGAAAGGACTCATTTCGTTAGTATTATTAATAACTTTTTTACGTGGCCACAAAGATATTCGAAAAAGAGTAAATAGAAACCAAAAATAGTTTTCGTTATGATCTTCAAGATCTTTGGGATTGGGGTATACTGTAAAATCAGGTAATGGTGCTATATAAACTTTACGATCATTATGGGAAGCTTCAATTCTATTATAACCTTTCATACTATTTTTTATAATAGTGAATTAGTAAAAGGCAAAGTGACTCTCTTTATAATCTTTATGATTAATAATTATAATTACCTTTTAAATATGTTTTTTAAGAAAAACCATAGAGTATTATGGAACTTTAATGCAAGACACGGTTTTACTACTAAAGAATGTATCACAGCTGCGTTATTTCCTTTCTTTTGATCATAAGGACTAATGTGCAATGGTGGAGTGTAAGCTTCAGTAATTCCAAAACATGGTTTTTTAAATAAATATTGAATAAATTCACCTTTTGAAAAATTAAAAGAAAAAAGTTTAATTCAAATTTGAAAGTAATTAATCAATTTAATATAATTAAACAAGGGTAAATATTTTAACTTACTTAATTGAGAATCATATAGTAAAGGTATTGCTTTGCTTATAGTACACATCCAGCCATGATTATTATATTCTTTAGCATTATCGGCATAATAATCTATTAAATATTTTAAAATTACTGTAGGATCTCCTCTTTTTTGAATACATAAAATAGCATGATGTAAATCTGACATTGATATCTCGGTTGTTGATTTATTATTATCTTCATCTGCCCATTTATATAATCTTGGTATGCATATATTACTATGTTTTCTATTGATTTTCTTATGTAAAATATGTTTTATTAAATTTTCTTGATGGCTTTTAATAAGATATTTCATAATTGGATATCTAATACTTGTTAATCTAAATATCCCATATTTTGTAATATATTTTCGTACTAATCTTTGTGTACATTCAATTAAATATTTAATTTGATTAACATTTTCATGACCCGCCACTACATGGTTCTTCTCTGCTAAAACGTAAAGAGCTCGACATGCCCCTTCAAGAACATTTGCATTATTTGGCCAATGTATCGTCATTGATTTTAATGGTGTAGAAGATACTAAAACTTTTAACACAAATTCTTGTTCTCCAATTCGTAGTTCTTGAACATCGATTGCTTTTTTCCGAGCCCATATGTATTCTAATACTCGATCTCTTTTTTCTGCATTATTACGATATTTCCATACTTGTATAGTGTTACTAGAAATAATTAGTTGAGTACTTTCAGCAAAATCTAAGTAAACTGATGTTCGAAAATAACAATCATTCGAATGCCATGGTTCAACATTATTCATTATTATTCGATTTTCTTCTAATTCGGAAGCATCAAATCTTTCACCATTTATATTATAAATTGCATGATAAACGTGATCCCTCGTAGGAATATCAATTTTAGTCTTTGCCTTAACTGAAGGATATCTAATTGAGGCTACATCTTCATTATGATCTAACACTGAAAAAATATCTCCATCACCTCTAACCGCAAACATAGTTCCATGAGAATACATTAATCTATGAGAGAAATCCATTTTTAGGGGTTTCTTAGTTTCGGAATAATCAATTTGACGTATGGAATTTTCAAATGTGGTAAATAAATCCCATACTACAAATATTTGATGCTTAGAATTTTCACGTTGTCGTTTTTTTTTTTCTTCAAAGACTATTAAAAGTTTACTATCATTGTCAATAAAATTTAAAGCAATAATTTTATAAATTCCTCTCTGACCTTCAAATTGTTTAGTAGTAATTTCTAAACCATTTTCCATAAAATATAATGTAAGGCTGGGAGTTCCCCGACAAAATGCTAAAATCTTTTCATTTTGAGAGATGGCAAAGATGGGGGAACCATAAATTATGTTGGAAGCTACTGAAGATTCATAACGTTTAAATAACATCTCTAGATCACCAGTAATTAAACTATACATTTCAATTATCTGTTGTCGATTTTTAAAAGAATATACCACAAAATGATTTTTAATAATACTTATGTGTAATAGTTCAAATGAGCTTTGCCAATGATCACGTGAAAGGCGAATTGAAAGTTGTTTGGGTAACTCAAATTGTTCTCTCTTGGATGATCGCGAGAAAAATCTAAGTTTTCTTTTTTTTATAGATTCTTTAAAAATCCCCGAAGCATTAACTATAATGATTACTAAAGCTCTTTTTTTTGATTTTGATTTTAATAATGGTTGGTGACTATCATCACTATCATCACTATCGCTTTCATCAGTATGATCATCATTATCATCTCTATCAAGAAATCTTATCACCCCGCCAATTGATTCTAAAGAAGTATATATTTCACTTCCATCTTTAGTAGAGATAACCCATGTTTGAGGTCGAAGACAGTTATCATCGTATTTTAAGTCATCACCGTATTTTAAGTCACTTTCGTCATCACTATATTCTAAGTCACTTTCGTCATCACCATATTCTAAGTCATTCTTATCATTATCGTCAAAGTCTAAGTAATTTTTATTATCAACGTATTGGTTATCAACTTTATCACCAAAATCTAAGCCATTTTTTTCATCATCATGCATTTCACCATGACGGAATTTTCTTGCATCAAAACAAGATAATGCAATAAGACGTTCATTTCCATCATCGTCTACACAATTAGATATTGCTATAGACCAACAAAGATTTTTATCTTTATCTCCACATTCAGGTGGGTAAATAATTTCATTTGAACTTAAATCATCAACCTTATATAACTTAAATTCATGGGTCTCTATTATTTTAAATATTTATGCATTATTTAAGATTTATTTAAAGATTAAAAGATTTATCAAAAGTAAATAATTAATAATTAATTTTACCTTGACTAAAAGTAACAATTTGTTTACTGTCTGGACTTATTGCTATGCAACTACCGAAAAAAAGAGAATCTTTCTCTATGGAGCTAGTTATGGATTTACCCGAGGAAAATTCGTCAATTTCATCAAAGAAACTTGTATGATGTTTTTCTGACATGTTTTGTGACATGACAGTTTAATCGAAGTAAATTTATATTCACTTTTATAATATTTTTTTATACAAGCATCAACTGGTAAATTCTGGTATATATATCAATGGGTATATCAAATGCCGACTTTTATTATTTATTATTTTTTTTTAAAAAAAAAATATATATATGCTAAAAATGCCATTGATATGAACATAAAAAGATCTGATAAATGATACATCTATATACAGAGATTGTCAGCCTGCAGGAATCCATAGAATAAGTCCTGAATTAGAAATTTGAATGCATAAAATATATTTTTTTTTAAGTTGCCTTGAGACTTCATAGCAAGAAAATGTTGTGCATTAAAAATAATACAAACATAACAAACAAATATAATATTGTAGTGCGGGTAAATATTAATATCTGGATTAGGAAAAGGGTTTACTATTTCTAAAGTATTTGTAATTACTAGAACTAGAGGATAACTAATTGTTTTACGGCATTCATTTTTGATATTTAATGGAAAAAATGGATAGAATCTGAAGTAAAATATTATTATAAAGCTTGACTTGTAAACGAACTAATTTTATATTTTTTTATATGTAATTTTTTTAATTTAGTTCACTCGTCATATTACTTATTGATCTGTATAATATTTACTTGTTTGATTACTATAGCTTTGATATTATATGAGTATATAATAAGCGGATATATTTTGTATACAAATAATTCTTAATGATATTTAAATGTTATTTAAAGCACATCTATAAAGTGGTACTAGTTTTCTTTCTTTTTTTTTTTGTTATGAGACAAAAAGGATTACGTATTAATTTAAAGTTGAAAGAAATGGTTTTATTTATTTATTATTTCTACTACTTTTGAACGGCTAATATATGATACATACGTATGGCATGACAGCAGATGTGAGCAATTTTATTAGCATTTTAAGGTTCATCATACATTTATTATTCACACTATTTCAATAAGCATTATCATTCCTAATGCTTTTTTTCTCTAGCTGCAATATCGGATGATCTTGTCGATACTTTTCTCTACTACTTCCTACCAGCGCAATATATTCTTTTATCAATGCAAAGAATGCAAAGTCATAGTCATACCAAAACATCTTTTGAAACATTATAGCTGCTGCATTATAGTTTTTTAATTTGTCATATTTTATTATCGTTATAATATTTACTCCAGGATTGTCCAAATTTCCACACTTTGTTGAGTTATTTTAGAAGAAGATTAAACTGTGAATTCACTCTCTTGATAATTTATTTTTGGTCACATTAAAGCCTCAAAAATAAGAATGATAGTAAATTAAAAATTCGGTTTAATTTAGAAATAGAAAGACTACCCTTATTTTTTGTCTCGTCATTGATTCATTAAAGTCAAAAAATAGATTCTTAATGAAAATTTTCTCTTTTTTTTTGCTGAATCACGAATTAAATTTTAATTATCAAAATTATATCTTTTTATTTAGGCTAATCTTTCTTGCATTGATAATTGATCATCAACGTTTGTTGTAGAACCTGAATGATCTTTGGATGAAGATTCATTACCTGATTTATTACTTTTAGTGTTATAACTGACATTCTTGTTGTTTGTTTTCCGATTTCTTTGTGATTTCTTGTTCAATTTTGAAGTAACAAATTTTAACGGAAAAATTTCTTCATCAAAAAATAAAATTCCATAAGAATCCAAATCCATTGTACTTGTAGAACCGTTTTGTTTAGGTCGATATTTTTTTGAATAGAATGAATTTTCTAAAATTTATAATAAAATTCAAATGAACTTAATTCATATTTTCATACTAGTATTGAAAATGTTTCGCAAGAGAAATTCTTATTATCAGCCATCATCTTGATTATCATCACCACCACCATCATCATCATCATCATCATCATCACTACTCTCAAAATTTGTTAAGTCTGATAATTCAGCAAATTCTTACCCTTAAGACTTTTTTTTTGTTTTTCAATCTTCTCAGTTTCCTTAAGCCAAATGTCAATCACATCAGGATCAGGTATATAATAAATGTATCGAGGATTACCTCTTTTACTGTCAAAAGGTTTTTCTAAAGCTTCATATTCAACAACAAGTTCAGCGCGATATTTATGAGCTGCTGTACGACTTTCTTCATTTGCTTTTCAAATGTCCACTGCAAAATTAAGAGAATTAAAATTATGATCCAAAATTTTTCAAAAACTTTCACTTTACATTGCACACAGTTTTAATAATTAAAATATATACTTATTTCATAAATACAATCAACAGATTTTGGAAAATTAACACCAATATTATACTTCCTAGTATACTAATTGCATCTAAAGTACAACTATCCCATTCGTCTAATTGATTCCATCATCGTCCATTGGTTCAAAAGAATACATATTCCACTGATGAGATGAAATATGAATAGTAATCATCAAATCGGAAAGGTTTATCAAAATCCTAAAAAATTGGTATAATTGAGTAATAGGAATACAAGTCTGGATTCGTTGTCTTTAATCTTTAATTTTATAAGTAGCAATTTGTAAGCTTAAGTCATACATAATTAAGAAGAATGAACCTGAAGATGATCATGATGAAAAATGTAATGAAAATAAAATAAAAAATCAGTAACATTTTTAGTAACGAAAAAAACAAAATTCATAGCGTGATCAAATACAAGTTCGGCAATCAACATGAATGCTAAGAATGGCCAAATAGTTAAAATACTTTAAATGATATAAATAAAACGTCCCGGATCTTCAAAATATCTCATGAGTAATAACTATAAAAAAATAAAATAAAGATTAATAGAATAGATAAATAATAAAATAATAATATTATACCGAAAGAGACAAAAAAAAAAAACCGACTAATTGAAGCCACATAACCAAAGCTGTGAAAGCTAAAACAGGGTTATAGGGAAAATCGAGTACTTGATGATCATGTAAAATACTCGCTGTATTAACTGCTAACGGTAATAGGCACTGATAATAGATCGAACATAGTATTATAAATATTGATATATCGATACCATCCTACTCTTTTAATTGCACAATCTCCGTAATAATTAAATACTATCCAGTATATAAATATACAAGGAGAGAATTTATTTAAAATAGACTCAAATGTAATATTCACAATTTAACTATTTTTGATTCCCCCTATGAAATAATTGTTATAGTACACGAAATAGCATACATATCGGCGCATTTTTGGAATCTAATTATGATTATTCAGATCCTTGATTGTGATTGAATCAACAGAGATCTATAAAAATAAAAAATGATTAAGATTGTAAAAAAAACTCAAAACTTTATTATATTAACTACCTTTTGACCTCTAATTAAAAGTATTCAGCACAATATTTTACATATACTCATATTAACTTATAAGACTTTATTAAATAAATTACGGCACTTTGTCAGTTTAAACAAATAAACAAATAACTGTCTAAACAATTTTTCCACTGCCCAGCCTTAGACAACTTATTTTATTTCTTCCTTCTAATATTCAATATAGTTGTTTTTTCTATTTTTTGTTATTTTGTTTAGATTAATGCTAAGGAAAAAATTTATTGTTGTGGGATTTGTGTTGCCTATTATTTTTTAATTCCAAAAATGCGCCCATATGATAATATATACATTATGATATGACGAATATAATATTGACGGCTAGCTGACCATTTAAAATCTAAGACCGCCATTATAGAAGGTGTCTAATAGATTTTATAACCTTTCTCTTTCTCTTCATAAATAACGTGAAGGAAAGGACTGATTTCTTTAGTATTATAAATAAAATTTTATACGTGGCCAAAAAAATATTCGAAGGAATGTAAATAGAAAGCAAAAATATTTTGAATAATTTTCACTGTGATCTTTGCAACCTTTGACCTTGTGGTTAGGGCATACTGTAAAATTGGGTAATGAGACCATATAAACTTTACGTTCATTACGTGAAATTCGAAACATATAATGCCATTTTATAGCATTTTTTGAAAAATAGGCAATTAGTAAAAGACAAAAATGACATAACTCTTCTTTATAATCAATAATCATAATTACATTGTAAATAGTTTTCTAAGAGATTTCATAGAGTATTACGGAACTTTGGTGCAAGACACGGTTTTACTGCCAAAGAATGCATCACAGCTGTGTCATTTCCTTTCGTTTGAGCATAAAGAATAATATGTAATGGCGGGTGTAAACTTCAGTAATTCCAAAACATGGTTTTTGAACAAATATTGAACAAATTCCCCTTTTGAAGAATTAAAAAAAAAGATATTTAATTCGGGATTAATTAATTAATATAATTAATCCATAGCATAATTAAATAAGTAAAGATTAAGACTTACTTAATTGAGAATCATATAGTAAAGGTATTGCCTTGCTTAAAGTAAACATCTAAACATGATTATTGTATTCTTTAGCATTATCAGTTTGATAATTTATTAAATATTTTAAAATTATAGTAGAATCTCCTCTTTTTTGATATAAAATAGCATGATACAAATCTGTCTTTGATATTTCAGTTGTATATACCCATTTATATATTCTTGGTTTATATATATTACTATTTTCACTGTTAATTTTCATATTTAAAATATGTTTTTATTAAACTTTCTTGACAACTTTTAATAAGATATTTCATAATTGGATATCTAATACTTATTGATCTAAGTATTCCATATTTTGTAATATATTTTCGTACTAATCTTTGTGTACATTCAATCAATTATTTAATTTTATCAACATTTCCATACTTGTACAGTGTTATTCGAAATAATTAATTGTGTACTTTGAGTAGAATCTAAGTAGACTGATATTCGAAAATAATCTTTTTCTTGGTGCCATGGTTCAACATTATTTATAATTATTCGAGTTTTGCTAATTTTGATGCATCAGATCTTTCCCCATCTATATCATAAACGTGCGTAGTAATATCAATTTCTGTCATTTCCTTCACTGAAGGATTTCTAATTGAAGCCACCACATCTGGATGATCTAAAAATGAAAAAATATCTCCACTATCTCTAATTGCAAACATTTTTCCATGAGAGTTACTCTATCTATGTGTGACACCCATTTGAAAGTTTGGAATAATTAATTTGACATATGGAATTTTCAAATGTGGTAAATAAATCTCATACTACAAATATTTGTTGCTTAGAATTTTTACCTTCTGATCTTCTTTTTCTTCAAAAGTTTATCATCATCAATAAAGATTCTAGTAATAATTTTCTAAATAATAATTTTAATAATATTGTGGCGAAGTAAATTGGCAATCATAAGGATTATCACGGGGATGATAAAAGGTGATACAAAGATGAGAAGAGAAAATGATACTGTTGTGGTCTGCGCAGAACAATGTGGAAAGTTAAGCCAATCAGTCTCAATAAGTTTAGGTCAATCACATGATAATTCAATGTATTACTAACACACTATCTCTTGTACACAATATCTCAAAACACAGCAAGACAGGTAATCAGTCGATCTAAACCTGCTTACTAACACTCAAACAATGCAATTACATGTAATATCTGAAGGTAGAGTGAGCAAGTGGAATAAAAGTATCTTTACTAACTGCTTCGTACACTACTGAAATTAAACAGACTTTTTGAAATAACTTGCCAAGAAGAGTAAAACAGTTTATTAAAAATTTATTAAAAGAATAAATCAATAAGGATATATTACTGCATTGGCATATCTTATTCCTATTGCTATTCCAATACACAAAATTATTATTAAAATTAAAAACTATTACAAAAATTATTTATTATTTTAGGATTATTTCGAAACTGTTTTATTTGTTACACTAAAATTATTGGAAAATTATTTATTATAAAAAAAAAAATTTTATAATTATGAAATATTCAAATTGTTATGCAATTATTTGTTATGATAAAATTATTAAGAAATTTGTTATTAAGGTAAGAAAGTTATATGATTTAAAATTTTTTTGTAAGAAGAGGAATCTCTTTTTCCTCCTTTTTTCACTGGTTATTTTTATACCTTCCAATTTGTTCTCTTTTTCCTTTTGTTTTCACGTCTAAACATATTTTCTCCTTTTCCCCAAGGATGACACACAAGGATGAAAGATGTTGTGCAAGGATGAGAAATCTGTCATCTAGATGGTAGTACACTTATCCTCAGGTAACACTGTCATCTTGCTACCATCTCCTGTGACCTTTGTAACCTTCTGCAATCCTTGTACAGCATTCTCCGTGACATTTGTGCCACCTCAATACATAAATTTAGAATGTGGATAAACTTAGGATGCAAATATTATAATAATTGTAGTCATATATATAATAATTACATCTGAAGAGGTTTGGTTATCAGTTCCCAAGGTTACACTTAGGCAATGATGAGTCAGATGGTAAAATGTTATTTTTAGTCAGTCTCAATAAATGTAAAATAAATTATATATATCTTTAAAATTTACACCTAATTTATTAATAAAAGTTTATTGGAACAAGACTTCATTGGATTTAATAAAAAAAAAAGGAAAAGAATAGAGAAATAGAAATAATGATAAATGATAAAGAATTTAATGAAATCAGGAAAACATTTAATGAGATAATTAATAATAATATGTATGCTGAAGAGTTAAGATTAATACTATTTAAAGAATAGTACCACATTGAATAGTAACATGTAGAGTGAAAGTCCTGAAAAACTTATATAAACCCTGGATATTCTACTTGTCAAAAAGTAGAAAAAGCAATCATAACAACAATTAATGAACTGAAGATAATTGAATATACTACAAAAATTCTATATGAACCTAACTCCTGGAAGATCTGGGTTAGCAAGAGGAAAAATCATACAAAAGAATTTTATAAACATTGGCAAATACCTGGAAGACATATTGAAGAAACAGACATATCAATAAGACATGTAGCTCAAAGAGAGATACTTGAAGAAACTGAAATAAAATTAGAAATAAATGACTTAAAATACTGGAGAACAGAATATTACCAAAAAGAAAATGAATAAAGAATTTTTTCATTGCTTCAAATCAATTACAAACAAAATACCAAAACTAATTGAACCATGGAAAATGACTGACTGGAAATTAAGAGATATTAAGTCAGTATTAAAAGAGCCAGTTATTCAATCAGTTCAAGATACAGTAACAAAGAAATAACAAGTAAAAACTTCAATAGTAATTATTGATGGAACATGTGAAGCAGGAAACACTACTTTAGTGAAAGAATCCAAAGAATATTTAAAGAGAAAAGAATTAAGAGTGAGAGTATTAAATGAATCATTTATTACTGAAGACTCTTTTGAGGAATTAAAGAAATATGAAGAAAACCTGGAAAAATACAGAAACAAGGATTAGACTTTTAACAATTTCAAAATGAGACTATAAAATGGGAAAAATGGATAAGAGATGCTTGGATAACTCAGATTTATATTTGTATGGCACATGAGAAAAACCTGCTGTAGGTTTTTTTGAATCTAATGGAGTCTTGTTCCAATAATAAATTAGGCATAAATTTTAAAGATACATGTAATTTACTTTACATTTATTGAAACTGACTAAAAATAACATCTTACTGTCTAACTCATCATAACCTAAGTGTAACCTTAGGAACTGATGGCCAAAATCCCATCAGATGTAATTGTTATATATATAACTATAATTATTATTATATTTGCATCCTAAGTTAATCCACATTCTATATTTATGTATCATGTTCTTTTCTATTTGTTCTATTTTACTGTGTTTCCCTTCATTAGTTTCTACTAACTTTATACTGTCATTATATTCTCTTATTTCCCTCACCTTTTTTAAATTAGCTTTTCCCTTTTTTTTCTTTTCAATCTATTTGTAATATTATTTTTAGCTTCCCATAGTGCCATTTTTTCACACCGTTCCTTACAGTAGTCTTTTAAGTACTCTTTGAAGTTATCCATTCCTTCAATAATTGCTTCCCTGGTCCTTTCTCTAGATTTCAACACTGATTTAACTTTGAATACTAATGATTGTGGTATGAATCCCTTGATTAATTCGTGTAATGTGATCCTAGGTGAACTCATTTCATCTGTATCTCCCCAAAAAATCAAAATACAGTTAATCACCTATTTTATTCAATTTAATAAAAAATCTTAATTACATAATAGTTCGTGCTATATCTTTTAAAATTTTTTAAAATGCAAATTATCTCTTGTCTACACCAATAACTAACTTAATTAATTTTTACAAATATACTATTTTGAAGTTATTTTTAATATTTCAAAATCTTCAATATAATTATCATCTAAACGAAAAAATAATTAGATTAATATCAAGAAGTAAAAAATAAAATATGATATATATGATTAATACTTACTAGTTACTATATAAAAAGAAAATTCGGTAATTCTTCAAGATCCTTTTCAAAATTTGATTCATTTACAAGTTTGGAAGATTCGAAAATTAGGAAGTCTACAATTATAAATTGGATGTGTTTTGTAATTAAGTGGATTTGTAGTCGTTGTATCTGTCGTTTCTTGATTTTTAGAAAATACTTTAACTTCTTTAATTTGAATTGTATTTTCGCTAATACAATTGCTACAAGTCGAAAGTATTTATTCAACTCAAAATAATTATTCAAGAGTAGGTCGACAGATAATTCGAGCATTCCAGTTCCTCATATCATTTATGAATGTGAAATAGAATTGTCATAATCCATTACTAACCCATTACCATGTGGCACATCAGGATATGGAAAAATCGGTAACCTTTGTATATTCTTCCCCACTTAATACTTCAGGAGCATGTATATACAGTATAAAAACATTTCTCTTTGGAGATTTTCTATTCAATTAATTTGCTTAGCTCAGAATTTGAAATACATTACATAAATTATAAAAATTAAAATGAGGTGATGAAATATTTCTAGGGTAAGAATTCTGATGAATTATGTCAAATTTATGAATTTCTGTAAAAGATAGGTATCTTAGATATATTAATTTCTTATATCAATTAATATTATTCAGATCTATGTAATTCCATAAAATAAGATTGTTTCCATTGTTCTTGAGTAATATTTTTTAATAGTATTAAATATATTATATTTTCAAACAATTTACATATTAATTTAAAATATTACTTTGTCGCGTTTAAAGAATCTTCATTAATATCTCCAATAACATCAATCTTTTTTTAAAACCACTCAAATTGACCATTTTTCCCTCTTTATTTGTCCATCGATTCACCTAGCATAATAAATAGTCTAAATCACATTTTTCCATTTTGTTTAATACATTGAAATCTATCATAAGGTCTATTTTATTGTATCATAACAATTTTGCATTTAATTGAGCATCTTGAATAAATTTATTAATCGTTTTATTCCCATCGTCAATTTATCAAAATCATTTTTGAAATATGTTGAGTTGAGTCAGACGGTTCTCTAAAACGAAATAACATTTTTTATTCATTCTATTTTATTTTTAAAAAAAATAAATAAATTTATCTATCAGAGTTGGCAAAAAATATCATCAATATGGTCGGGATTTGAAAGCATTCACGATAAAAATAATGACACTAATTAAAATTTTTTTAAAAAAAGAAAAAAAAAAGAATTATCTTTTGATTAATACTTCAATTAAATTAATAATTTAAATTAATTAAATTATTAAATTATGGTCGAATTATTATTCATTATATCATTAGACTGATAAGTTGCTAGATAAATTATATCAGTAAAATTATTCTATCTCAATTTTCAAAAATTGAAGATTCATTTCTTAAAAATATATTTAAAAATCATGTTGATCGTTGATAAATTTACGCATTTACCTTTAATAATCTCTCCAAAAAACTCGAATTTACGGTAGCTTTCCTAATAATAGAAATATTTTTATTAATTCCTTAATCTGAGACTCGAAAGTAGATGTCTACCAGTAGCTTTACTTATATGAAATAAATTATAATAGAATACATAGAAAATAAATATGAGATCATACCTTTAATAATACCCCTATAGTGTTGATATATTTTCTAAAATCAGATCCATATATAAAATTATCGTTTTTTATTGATCAACCTTAACTGTACTGTAACAAATACATGCATGTGATAAATTAAATCTGGAAATTAGGAACGAAAGAACATTCCATTCTAAATAATAATAAATAATATTATAATATAATATTTGTGAAATTAAAAAAAAAATTCGAAAACAATTTTTTTATTCTTTAATTGTATTATTTCTAAAGAATTAATTATATGTTTTTGATTTGAATATATTTATAATTATAATTAATCATCTACAGCGATTAACAACGACATAAATGACTATAACTAAGACCATGACGAAAGATTCATTTCCCTTATTGATACTTCTCGTCATCCTGTTTTTACAAATTCCACTATCAACTCGCGCTTACGTCAACAACAGGTCTAATTCTTCTTGGACTTTCTGGAATTATGAAGATGGACATAGAAAATGTGCAAATATATGTATAACAGTATTTGTAATAACTGCCGTTTTGTTGACAGCATTATGTGTTTATGGTATTTTTTTATGTGTGAAAAGTAAATATAAAAAAAATTCTGAGGAAGAAAAGGGAGAGCCGTATAATAAAGAAACTGGTGGAAATAGTATGGATAATATTTATGTTTGAATAAATTAAATTTATTTGCATCCTTTTTAGATTCAATGAATGAAGCAAAATTGGTTTTAAAATAAATTCACCAATACTATTTTTGTTGTTTTTTTTTTTGATTTCCAAGTTGTCGATCTCTCGAATAAATCTTATTTTACACGCAGCCATTTTATTTATTTTTTTTTGTTTCGTTTCCATTTTCCTTAAAAGCCCAAACTATTTTATTTATTATAAATAACAGTAACCAATTATAAAATAATGTTCTTGATTATTCATTGAAATTTTTCTTTTTAAATTACAATAGACTAAAGAATGTTACGATGAAATATCATTAATAAAGCACTAAAAAAGTATCATTAAATTATTCACTTTGACAAGACCATTTGACAATAATATTTAATTATTTAAATATTAAGATTATTATCGGCAATTTATATAATTTGTAATATTCCCACTTCCTATTTGATCATTGTAAATGATTGTTTATTGAATTTTCATGTGACGGCAATAATAATCTAATATTTTTTCAATAAACCTATATTTTTCGATTTATTTTCGGTCAAATTAAAATAAAGTTTCAATAAGAATCTGATTGTTAATACATAGCGAATTAAAAATTCAAACACAAATTAACAAAAAATTGTATTTAAATATAAAACTCTTCCCAAACACCACAAAACATCACTATTTTGGATTATCTAGTTTTCAATATACTGTAGTTTATAAATTTTGATTTAATTCATCAAATCTTGCCTCCTGGTTATTGAATCTTGTCTTAAATTCATTTCCAGGTTATTAAATTTGTCTTAAATTCATTTTCCAGGTTATTAAATCTTTCATGCATTGATAATTGATAACTAACGTTTGTAGCAGTATCTGTATGATCCGCAGATAAAGGTTTATTTGATTCATTATTACTGACATTATTTAATGATTTGTTGTTTTATTTCAATTTAGAAGAAGTAACTTTTAACAGAAAAATTTCTTCATCAATAAATGAAATTTTACAAATTGTATTATTTTATTTGGTTGTATTCGGTTCAATAGAATCAAGATCCATAGTACTTGAAGAACTATTATTTTGTATATGTTGATATTTTTTTGAATAAGACGAATTATCTAAAATTTAATCCAATAAAATTTAAAAAAACTTAATTCATGTTAGAATTAGGATTGAAAACTCTTATTATCGTAATTACATTGATTGTCATCATTATCATCATCATCGCTATACTCAAAATCTGTTATTTCAGCTAAATTTTCACCTAAAGGATGTAAATTTTGTTTCTCAACCTTTTCAGTTTCCGCAAGTCAGGCATCAATCCCATCAGGATCAGGTATATAGTAAATATATCGAGAATCATCTCTTTTACTGTCAAAAGGTTTTTCTAAAGCTTCACATTCTGCAACAAGTTCAGCATAATATTTATGTTCGGCTATACGACTTTCTTTATTTGCTTTATCAAATGCACAACTATGGAATTAAGAAAAATCAAGAGAATTAAAAAGAATATCCAAAAAATTTTCACAAATTTTACAATTTTACAGGACTTTTGGAATGTGCATGATTTATAATTTATGGCAATAATTAAATAATATACTTACTTCATAAATGCAATCAACATATTTTGGAAAATTAACACCAATATTTTGCTTCCTAGTATGTTAATTACGTATTACTCCCGCCTAATAGATCACATCGTCACTGGTCCAAAAGAACACAGCTTCAACTGATGAGGCGAAACGTAAATAATAATTACCAAAAAAGTACAATAGATTAATATCCGGATAAATTGATATATTTGAGTATAAGCTTTGGTTCATATTGTCTTTAATTATATTAATTATATAAGTAGGAATTTCTAGGTCCTCCGCATTTTCAAGGGCGATGAGACTAGAAATTATTATAATAATAAAATACAAGAATAATATATTAAGATAAATTAATAAAGTTTAAAATAATGAAAACAATATTCATTATAATTATCTTAATTACATAGCGTTTCCAAATTCAAGTATAGCAATCAACATGAATGCAAAGAATGGCCAGATAGTGTTTAAAATACTTGTAATGATATAAATAAAATGTCCCTGACCTTCAAATATATCTTAATAGTAATAACTAAATATAAGTTAATAATAATAATAACAATAATGAATTTACTTCGTCTAGGAAAAAGAGAAGAGAAGACAAAAAAAGATTTACCAATTCAAGCCACATAATTAAAGCTGTAAACGCCATTAAAAGTTTAAGTTCAAAACTGTCTTTCAAACCTAGTAGATCATCATGATGTAAAAAAGCTGCTATAATATTTATTAACGGTAATAACAATGATCCAAGATCAAACAGATTATAAATATTTATATATCGATACAATCCTTCTCTTTTTAACTGCACAATCTCCGTAACAATTAAATACCATCCAGTATATAAATATACAAAGAGCAAAATTGCTAATTTCATAATTGGGTTTATTTTAACTATTTCTGGTTCACTGTTAAATGAATAAGAATTTGAGTACTTTTTTTTTCTCTGTAAGATAAAAGTGAAAGTGAAATAATTATTATAGTATATGAAATAGCGTATAATATATAAGTAATGATATGACGAATAAAATATCGACGAGCAGATGACCATTTGAAATCTAAGACTGCCATAATTGTAGGTGTCTGATAAATTTTATAACCTTTCTCTCTCTCTTTATGAATAACGCGAATGAAAGGACTCATTTCTTTAGTATTATCAATTTCATTTCTACGTGGCCAAAAAAATATTCGAAGGAACGTAAATAGAGAACAAAAATATTTTGAATAATTTTTACTATGACCTTTGACCTTGAGATTGGGGCATACCGTAAAATCAGGTAATGGGACTATATATAAACTTTGCGATTACGGCGTGAAGATTGAAACCTATAATACCATCTTATAACATTTTTTTAAAAAATAGACAATTATTAAAAGACAAAAATTAAATATCTCCATTTTTTGATTTTCATGATTATAATTACTTTTTAAATAGTTTTTTAAGAAAAACCATGGAGTATTTTGGAACTTTGATGCAAGACGCGGGTTTACTACTAAAGAATATATCACAGCTGCGTTATTTCCTTTCTTTTGGTCATAAGGATTAATGTGTAATGGCGGGTTGTAAGCTTCAGTAATTCCAAAACATGGTTTTTTTAAATAAATATTGAACAAGTTCACATTGAAAATTAAAGAAAAAAATTTAATTCAATTTTAAAGCGACTAATTTAATTAACATAATTAAACGAAAGTAAAGAATTTAAATTACTTAATTGAAAATCATATAGTAAGGGTATTGCCTTGCCTATAGCAAACATCAACCAATATTATTATATCCTTTAGTATTATCAGTATGATAATCTATTAAATATTTTAAAATTACTGTTCCTTTTTGAATACATTCAATAGTATGATGTAAATCTGACTTTGATATTTCAGTTGTTGATCTATTATTACCTTCATCTGTCCATTTATATAATTTTGGTATATATATATTACCCATTAATTTTCTTATTTAAAATATGCTCTATTAAACTTTCTTGATAACTTTTAATAAAATATTTCATAATTTGATATCTAATGCTTGTTAATCTAAATATTCCATATTTTGTAATATATCTTCGTACTAATCTTTGTATACATTCAATTAAATATTTACTTTAATAAACATTTTCATGACTTGCTACAATATGTTTCTTCATTCTTAAGACATAAAGGGCTCGACATACTCCTTCAAGAACATTTACATTATTTGGCCAATGTATCGTCGTTGATTTTGATGTGTAGAAGATGTAGAAGAAGGTACCGAATCTTTAACATGAATTCTCGTTCTCCGGTCTTTAATTCACTAACATCTCCCGAGCCCAGATATATTCTAATACTCGATCACACTTGCCTTGTTATTCTATGATAATATTATTTTTTTTCCATACTTAAATAGTGTAATGCGAAATAATTAGTTGCATACTTTCTGTAGAATCCAAGTAAACTGATATTTGAAAATAACTTTTGTTTGGATGCTATGGTTCAACATTATTTATAATTGTTCGATTTTTTGATGCGTCAGATCTTTCCCCTTCTAAATTATAAATTGCATGATAAACGTGATCCCTCGTAGTAATTTTATTTTATTATAATATTTTTACAATCTGCATTTAGTTGGCATCTTAAATAAATTTACCAAAATGTGTATTCTGGGAATATAAGATGTCGCGTATAATATTTCTTTTTATTTTTTATTTTTTTTTTAAAAAAAATTTATATCTAATTTACTTTTCAGTGAAAATTGCTTTGATGTGAATGAGTAATATAAAATATGAATTTATTATTTTATAATACATTTTTATCTATTAATAAGATTTAAAAATGAAAGGCAATTATCGAATTTCGGAGATAGTGTTTAAGTTAATATTTCAGAAATTACGCAGAGTTGGCAAAAAAAAGAAAGACTCGATTATTATTCTCTCGACAGGCCAGAATTATCATCATGCTAAATCAAGATTAATGACATTAATTAAAAGAATTTAAAAGTCTAATGATAAACTGGAATAACTCGGCGGATATTAGTAATAAAGGGGTGAAACATATATAATTACATGGCCATGGACAAGACTGTTCTATCTATCATAAGAAAATATTAGTAGAAAATCGCTTTGTGCTTCGCAAATCGCGAGTGAATCTTAATAAATGGAAAAAATGCACAAAAATTAGCGCAAATTTCGCCTCAAAATTTCCTATTGAACCAAATAAATAATCTTTTACGATTTCTGAAATTTTTTAAAATTAAATTTCTTAAATCCATGTTCTCATACATTATTTAAAAATAATCTGTTAAAAGGAAATTCTATTTCATGAAACTTTTGTCATACAATTATTATTCATCTGTATTTTATCAGTTACCTTTAACATAGAAGGAACATTATATATTATAATAGAATACATTCTAAAACCCGAGAAAATAAATATGATATCACACCTTTAATAGCTTCCAGAACCATATAGTATTGTGTTCTCCAAGATATAGTCTAAATCAATGAAATAAAATTATAACCGAAATCTCCATAATGCATGAAAATTTTCATTGTTAACTGTACTGTTAATAAAATATTTTCCAAAGTAAAGATTATTTTTTAAAATGATTGAATACATGTGGTAAAATTAAATCTAGAGATTTAGAAAGTAACGAAAGAACATATTATAAAATCTAAAATTTAGACAAAATATTTAGAACTTTCTTGCCATATATTTGCAAAAATAAATTCGAAATTTATGAATATTTTAAATATTAAGTTATTGACTTATTGATCTTCTTTCATTAACAAATATTTAATTGATTATTTCTAAAAGTAATTAATAATAAATTAACATCGGTTAGCAATATAAATAACTTAAACAAAAAACAAGATTCGTTTTCCTTGATAATTTCCCGTCATCCTGTTTAGACAATTTCCAACTCTCGCTTTTGTAACACTAAATGACATTTTCTTTGTACTTTCAGGGGTTATGAAAATGGATACAGATTTTACACATGATGGAGTCTCTCTTGGACATGTGCCAATATATGTATAATAGTATTTGTATTAACCGCAGTTTGTCGATAGCATTGTATTTGCTTTTGTATGAAAAAAAATCTAAAAAAGAAAAGGGAAAGTATGAACAAAAGAATTAATTGAATGAATAAAATCAAATTAAATTAGAAATAATCCTTTAATTATTTGACTATAATTATTTGATATAAAATATAACAATCTTTTTAATACCGCTTCACCTTTTCATTGTTGATTTTTAATATCCCAATTTATAATAATCCATCAACCCACTTAACATAATAAATGGAACAAAACCATCATTTGCTATTTTTTTTAATATCTTTAAATTTATCATAAGGTATCCATTCTATTATAATATAATAATTTGAATTTAGTTGAGCGTCTTGAATAAATTTATCTATCATTTCATTTTCACTTGTCCATTTATCAAAATCATTTTTGAAATGTGTTAAGTTACACGCATCAATAATCAAATTATTATTTTTCATTGCGTTCTTTACATTTGTAGTATGTAAGGTAGAAGTTTTTTGTTTATTAAGATGTTCGACCAACTTATTATTTTAGTTAATTCTATTGCATAGAGATACTTGCAGTTGGTTAAAATAAAAAATAAAATAAAAAATGATAAATAAATAAATAATAAAAAAATAAAAAAATAAAAATCAAAATATCGAAAAATCAAAAATCAAAAAGTAAAAAATAAAAGAATAAAAATAAAATAAAAAAATAAAAAAAAAAAAAAATAAAAATTAAATTGGTTAGATTTAATAAGATCCACCCTTTATTTTGCATAATCTCGTTCCGGAATAAGAATAAAACCTACAATCTTCATATAAAAAGTTGTTTCATTAAGATCATAAAAAACAAAGATTCTGATATATATATTTATATTTTTAACCTCATCAAGATAAATACCCAAATCCCATTACAAAAATCCTTTCCTTTTTGGCTAATCTCGAATGTTATTTAAGTTAAAGTTTCTAAAGTTTCAATATAGTCTTTAAATTTCTTAAATTCATTTTCCAGGTTATTAAATCTTTCTTGCATTGATGATTTATTAATGTTTGTAGTAAGACATGGATTATCTTCAGATGAAGATTCATCACTTGATTCATTATTATAACTGACATCCTCTAATGATTTGTTGTCTGATTTACAATTTCTCTGTGATTTTTTCCTCGGCTTAGAAGTAACAACTTTTAACGGAAAACTTTCTTCATCAATAAATGAAATTTTGTTAATTGTTTCATTATTTTTGATTACATTTGAAGAACCTTTATTTTGTATATCTCGATATTTTTTTGAATAAGATGAATTATCTAAAATTTAAAATAAAATTTACAATAAATTTAAATAAATTTAAATTATGTTATGAGAAACGTAATATTCTTACCACCTTGATTATCTTCATCATCGTCGTCATCATCATCATCATCGCTATAATCTGTTAACTCAGCTAAATTCTCATTTTTAGTTTCCATAAGCCAGATATTAATCATATTAATCATAATAGGATCAGGGATATAATAAATGTTTTGAGGGTTGCCTCTTTTACTATCAAAAGGTTTTTCTAAAGTTTCATATTCTGCAACAAGTTCAGCACGATATATCTGAGCTGCTATACGACTTTCTTTATTTGCTTTATCAAACGAACCGCTATAAAAAAATAATTATGACCCAAAATTTTTACAACTTTTACGGAATTTTAATAATTACACAATTTATAATTTATAATAATAATTAAAAAATATAAACTTACTTCATAAATGCGATCAACATATTTTGGAAAATTAGCACCAATATTATACTTCCTAGAATACTTATTACATTTACGGCATAATTATCCCATTGGTCTAATTGATCCCATCGTCCATTGGTCCAAAAGAATACAACTTTTACTGATGAGACTAAGCGTGAATAATAATTATCAAGTCGATAAGAATTATTAACATTCTGATAAATTGTTATATTTGAGTATAAGTCTGAATTCGAAGTGTCTTTAATCTTATATGTAGGAAATTGCGGGGTTGGGTTATCCGCATATTTAAGAGCAATGAACCTGAAGATTATTAAATAATAAAATATAATAAAATGTAACGAAACAAATTAGTAATGGTTAAAATAATAAAACAAAATTCATTATAATCATTATAATTACATAGCGTGACCAAATGCAAGTAAAGCACTCAACATGAATGCAAAGAATGGCCAAACAGTGTTCAAAATATTCATAATTATATAAACAAAACGTCCTGGGCACTCAAAACATCTCAATAGAAATAACTAAAAAAAAAAATAATAAGTAGAGAATAAATAATGATTACAAAAAATAATACATTTCGTCCAGAAAGAGAAAAAGAGAGAGAAAAGACAAGAAAACCTACCAATTCAAGCCACATAACTAAAGCTGTAAGCGCTGATACAGAGTTAAATACTGAAAATTGCAAAACGAGCACTTGATGACCATATAAAAATCTCACTATACTATTTGCTAACGGTAATAACACTGATCCTAGACCAAACATATTACTATTATTCATATATCGATACCATCCTTCTCTTTTTAATTGCAAAATTTCTGTAACAATTAAATACAATCCAGTATATAAATATACAAAGAGGCAAATTATTGAGTTTGCTTCAAATAAAATAGTATACGAAATAGCGTATAATATATACATAATGATATGATGAATATAATATCGACGGGCAGCTGGCCATTTAAAATCCAAGACTGCCATAATTGTAGGTGTCTGAAAGATTTCATCCCCTTTCTCTTCATGAATAACACGAATGAAAGGACTCATTTGTTTAGTATCATTAATAACTTTTCTACGTTGCCACAGAGATATTCGAAAAAGTGTAAGTAGAAACCAAAAAAAATTTCGAATAGCCTTCAAGACCTTGGGGTTCGGAGTCTTCGGGATCGGGGTATACTGTAAAACCAGGTAATGGGACTATATAAACTTTACGATCATTATGCGAAGTTTCAAGATTTTTAATCCTATCACATACACATACCATTTTATGATTTTTTAAAGAAAATTAGAAAATTAATGAAAGACGAAAAATGACATATTAGTCTTTATGATTAATAAATAATAATTACTTTTCAGATTGCTTTTGGAGGAATGCTCTTATGGGCTTTGATACAAGACATGGTTTCACTGCTAAAGAATGTATTACAGATGCGTTATTTCCTTTCCTTTGATCATGTTGGTTTATATGTAATGGTGGAGTGTAAGCTTCGGTAATTCCAAAACATAGTTTCTTTAATAAATCTTGAACAAATCCACCTTTTTTTGAAGAATTAAAAAGAAGTTTAAAAATAGTTTATTAATTAATATAATCCATTAGTATAAATAGTCAAGTTGTAAAGAATGACTTACTTAAATGATAATCATATAGTAAAGGTATTGCTTTGCTTACGGTAAACATCCAACCATAATTATTATATTTTTTAGTATTAGCAGTATAATAATCTATTAAATATTTTAAAATTACTGTAGCATCTCCTCTTTTCTGAATACATAAAATAGCATGATGTAAATCTGACTTTGTTGATCTATTATTATTCTCATCCGCCCATTTATATAATCTCGGTATATATATATTACTATGTTTATTATTAATTTTCACATTTAAAATATGTTTGATTAAACTTTCTTGGTAACTTTTAATAAGATATTTCATAATTGGATATCTAATACTAGTTAATCTAAATATTCCATACTTTGTAATATATTTTCGTACTAATCTTTGTGTACATTCAATTAAATATTTAATTTGATTAACATTTTCCTGACCTGCTACAATATGTTTCTTCTCTTCTAATACATAAAGGGCTCGACATGCCCCTTCAAGAACATTTACATTATTTGGCCAATGTATCATTATTGATTTTGGTGATGTAAAAAATTTAGTAGAAGGTACTGAAACTTTTAACACAAATTCTCTCTCTCCAATTCTTAATTCTTGAACATCCATCGCTATTTTCTGAGCCCAGATGTATTTTAACACTCGATCTCGTTTCACTATAGTATTACTATATTTCCATACTTGTATAGTGTCACCTTTGATTATTAGTTGAGTACTTTCCTTAGAATCCAAGTAAACTGTGTCACTCGTAGTAATATCAATTTCAGTTATTGCCTTCCCTGAGGAATATCTAATTAACGCTACATCTTTATGATCTAACACTGAAAAAATTTCTCCACTATCTCTAACCGCAAACATACTTCCATGAGAATTCATTAATCTATGTGTTATATCCATTTTTAGGGGGTTTAGAGGTTCAGAATAATTAATTTTACGAATGGAATTTTCATATGTGGTAAATAAATCCCATACTACAAATATTTGACACTTAAGAATTTCTACTTGTTTATATTCATTTTCTTCAAGGACTATTAAAAGTTTACTATCATTATCAATAAAATTTATTGCTGCAATTTTATAAATTCCTCTTTGACCTTCTAGTTGTTTACTAGCAGTTTCTAAACCATTATCCATAGAGTATAATGTAATGCTGGTAGTTCCCCGACAGAATGCTAAAATTTTTTCATTTTGAGAGATGGCAAAGATTGGAAAACCACGGATTATGTTGGGGGCTACCGTAGATTCATGTCGTTTAAATAACATCTCTAGATCACCAGTAATTAAACTATACATTTCAATGATTTGTTTTCGATTTTCAAAAGAGTGCACCATAAAATGATTTTTAATAATACTTGTATATAATAATTCTAATGAATTATGCCAATGCTCTCGTGAAAGGTGAAGTCGAATTGAAAGTTGGTGGGGTAATTCGAATCGTTCGATATTGGATGATCGTGAGAAGAATCTTTGTCTTTTTATATTATTCATGGTTTCTTTATAAATTCCTGACGCATTAACTATAATGATTACTGTCTTGTTTTTTAACAGATTATCATTGCTATCAAGAAATCTTATAACACCGCCAATTGAAGAAGTATATATTTCATTTACATCTGTAGTAGAGATAACCCATGTTTGAGGACGAAGATATTGATCACCAGATTCTAAGTCACTTTCATCGTCAACATACTTTATATCATTACAGAATTCTCTTGCATCAAAACAAGACAATGCAATAAAACGTTCATTTTTACCATTGTCCACACAATTAGATATTGCTATAGACCAACAAAGGTGTTTATCATTAACTCCGCATTCAAGTGTTGAAATAGATTTACTTGAACTTAAATTATCAATATTATATAACTCAAATTCGTGTGTCTCTATTTTATAAATTATTAAAAAAAAATTATTAAAAATTAGTAAAAAATTATTAAATATAAGAATGATTGGTATAATATTAATAAATGATTAATAATTAAATTTACCTGGACTAAAAATAACAATTTGTTTACTGTCAGGACTTATCGCTATGCAACTACCGAAAAACAAAGAATCATTCACTGTGGAACTAGCTATTGATTCACTCGAGAAAACATTTTCATTTTCATTAAGAAAGCTTGAATATTTTTTTAACATATTTCGTGAGCAATTACAGTTAATGGAAGTAAATTTAATATTCACTTTATATTACTTCTTAAATAAGCACCCTGTCTGCTAGCATATCGAATACCATCATTAATTCTATATAAACATTTTTTGTGATTTGTAAAAAAAAATGACCAACATTAACATAACATACTAAAAATGTCATTGATATATTCGTTTAATGTTTATCATTTCTTTTTCTAGAAATTTGTGCAATAAAAACGAATAAAGTTTTGTTCACAAATTATATTTGTGATCAAACAAGATAATTAATTCAAATATACCTGATATAATTGCATATTAACAGATACAGTTAGTAATACTAATGAGAATAGTAAATATCAGCAAGAAAACCACATGAAGATTATATGTTATTCTTGTTTTCAGAACGAAATTATACGAAATAAAAGCAGATCTTATTAAAGCTAATCAATTTTAATTTTATTAATTTTATTTTTTTATTATTGACTTTCTAATTTTTTTCAGTGAAGCAAAATCGTGAAACAATTCACGAAATTATAAGCAAAGTTTCAAAAAATAAAAAGGACAATTGATAGCAAAAAGTTGGTCGAGGTTACATGACATATTAATGTTGTGCTGCTGTTACTCAATTCCACACCTGCTTATTCATATTAAAGAATTTTTCTTCGAAACGTAAATTCAGCTGTAAATTCGTTCGTTTGTTTTTTTTTGAGAAAAAAAAAAAAGAAAACTTCTACCTTGCATACTATAAGTGAACAAAAAATGCCTATGTGCGAAGAATGCTATCGAGAATGTTATGATTGGTGGTGCAAACCGTGCAACTCAACACATTTTGAAAATGATTTTGATAAATGGACAAGTGGAAATGAAGCAATAGATAAATTTATTCAAGATGCTCAACTAAATGCTAATTCTGAATGGAAAGTAATAGAATGGATACCATTTGATAGATTTGAAGGTATTAAAGAAATAGCAAAAGGTGGTTTTGGTACTATTTATTATGCTAAGTGGATTGACGGATTTATTCGATTGTGGGATGTTGAAAATCAACTATGTGAAAGAGGTAGTCAATTGGAAGTGGTATTAAAAAAGATTGATGGTATTGGGGATATTAATGAAGATTTCTTAAATGAGGTAAATTAATTCTTTAAATCAATATGAAAATTTATTTTAAAATATATAATATTTAAAAATATGTTATTTAGATGGCAATTCACTTGAAAATAATGGGTGAAGATGCATCAATTCGTTTTTATGGAATTACAAAGGATCCAGAAACTCACAGATACTGTATATGATGGTTTTACATTATATGATAGATGGAAATCTTAGAAATTATTTAAATAATAAAGTTAATAATGTTACTTGGCATCAGAAATTATTTTATTTAAGCGATTTAGCATTTAAATTTCGAGAAATTCATGGATTAGACATAATTCATCAGGATTTCCACCCTGCAAATGTTTTATTATCATTTAAATTTATAAATTCTTTTTTACGAATTTCAGATTTTGGGTTAAGTAAATTAATTGGGAAAAATGTAGCAAATCCTCAAAAGAGAAATGTTTTTGGAGTATTGCCCTATATAGCTCCTGAAGTATTAGGTGGAGAAGAATATACAAAGGCTGCTGATGTCTATTCATTTGCAATTATTGCTTATGAAATAGTTACTGGTTTTCAACCATATTCTGATGTGCCACATGATGGTAATTTAGCTTTAAAAATATGTAATGGATTGCGACCAAAAATTCCATTTCACACACCGAAATTAATTACACAAACGATTATGCGATGTTGAGATGCTCGAATTTCCTGTCGACCCACTTTTAAAACATTATATAGAGAGTTGTATAAACACTTTCAGGATTATAAAAAAAATGATAATAATAACAATAATGAAATTACAATTCAAATTAAAGAAGCTGAAGCATTTTCTAAAAATCAGATAACAACTGATACAACAATTACAACTTCACTTAATTATAAAACACATCCACAAGCAATTTATACCAGCCGTCTTCTCAATTTCACAAATCTTCCAAAACCCGTAAATGATCCTAATTTTGAAAAGGAACTTGTAGAATTGACAGAATCTGTTTCTCATATAGTTACTAGTAAGTACCAATTACATGTTTATATTATATTTTGTAACCATTATGTCAAATTAAATTATTTCATTTATTTATTTAGATGATGATATTGATGATTTTTAATGCCGAGTATACTTAATATAATTTGTTTATTATTTTCTTTTTTATTATATATAAATATAAAATTAGTTTGTCAAGAGATAATTTATGTTTCATAAAATCTTAATACAAATATCTAACTTTACATAAATTCATTTAACTTAGTTTGTAATTAAGATTTTTTTTTAAATACATTTTAATTGTTCATTATACCTGTCATTTGCATTTATTTAATATATGAATCCTTTTTATGTGATCATTGAAGAAATTGGATGCAATTTAATAGATGCAATTTATTAATTCATAATAAGAACTTTTTTTTTATTCAAAATGTGAAATTTATAATTGTTTAAATAATAATATATTAAAAATACAATATTAGATATTTTCTCAGTGATTTTTTGAAGAATTACCTTTATAATTTTTAGATGAATATTCCTGACAGATTGTATTATCATTAATAAACTTAATTTGTGTTAGGATTGAAAACATTTTTGCAGGAGAATTATTATTAGTTATTACCTTGATTATCATAATCTTTGCCATAATCGTCATCGCTGTAATCAAAATCTGTTAGATCTGTTAATTCATCTAATTTTCAACCGTAAGATGTAATTTTTGTTCTTCCTTCTTTTTGGTTTCCTTAAGCCAAGTATCAATCATATCAGGGTCTGGTATGTAATAAATGTATCGAGGGTTACCTTTTATTCTAAAATGTTTTTCGAAAGCTTCATATTCAGCAAGTCCAATACGATATCTAATTAACGGCTGTACGACTTTCTTTATTTGCTTTATCAAATGTGCAACTTTATAATTAAGAGAAAAATTATAATCCATACTTCTTTTTTGTAACTTTTATAATACAATTTAATTTATAGTAATAATTACTTCATAAATGCAATCAACATATTTTGAAAAATTAACACCAATGTTAAACTTCACAGCACGATAATCCCATTGGTCTAATTGATCCCATCGTCCATTGGTCGAAAAGAAAATAGCTTCTAATGACGAGAAGAAATTTGAATAATAATTATCAAGTCGGGAAGATTTATTAAAAATCTGAGTTATTGTTGTATTTGTGCCATCGATTAGATAAGTAGTAGGTTGTAATATTGTGTCATTCTTCGTATTAATAAAATTAAGCGCGTACCTTAAGATCATAATAATAAAATATAATAAAGTAAAAAATAAATTAGTAATGTTTAAATAATGAAAAAATTCATTATAATTATTATGATTATAATTACATAGCGTAACCAAATGCAACTACAGCACTCAACATGAATGCAAAGAATGGCCAAATAGTATTTAAAATACTAATTAAGATATAAACAAAATGTCCTGGAACTTCGAAATATCTCAGTAGAAATAATTATAAATAAAAAATATTATTGATTGAATAGAGAATAAGTAACAATAATAAAAATAATATAAAATAATAATGAAATAATAATAAAAATAATAATAATAAAAATAACATCAATAATAATAAATTTGTTTCGGTCGGAAAGGGAGAGAGAAAAGAAGACAAAAAAAGACCGACCGCTTGAGGTCATGCAACTAAATATATAAATGCTCTGAAAGATGCAAAATCTATCCAAATACCTCCAAAAGTCTCTAAAATCGGCATCATAAACATTAATAACGATAATAACACTAATACTAGATCAAACATATGATAAATATTTATATATCGATGTCATATTTCTCCTTTGAATTACAAAATCTCTAACGAATAAATACAGTCCAGTATAAGAATATACTAAGATGCGAATTCTAAGTACCATATTGAGTCTAGTTCATATGGCATAGTAATAGAAATAACTTATAACATATAGAATGAGATGATGAATATAATATCGACGGGCAGCTGACCATTTAAAACTTAAGACTGCCAATATCTTCAACATCAAACATGAGTTATTTCTATTAAATATAGGAGAATCAATTGGTGGTGTTTTTGAAACGATGATTAAAAAACAAACAATAACTAATGCTTTCTACATTGATTCTTACAGCTGCCGCAATTGTACTCAATTGTGCTGTAAATTTGAAATGTATAGTTTAATTTTCATTTACTCCCAATATAACTCGTGGCTCTCCAATCTTTGTAGTTTTTCAAAATGAATGAATTTGTCGGCATTAAATTTCAATTAATAGAAAATGATTTAGATTACTACTTTTTCAAAAAGGAGAATTTATAGAATTGCGGCTATTTATTTTTTGGTGACGATTATATACTTTTAATAGTTCTTGAATACGGGGAAAATTCTAAATATTAAGTATTTGTAGAATTGGGTTTATAGTTTGAAGAATTTTCATGGAAAGATATTCGTAGTTGCAGATATTGGAATATTTTTTAATGAATTTGGCATTATCTAATTGTTACAATTGTACGAATAATGTTTGATCTAGGATTAATTTTATTACCAATGATAGAATAGTTATAGTTAGGTAACTTAGATTTGTATGTCTATTTTCTATTACCTTTTCTATTATAGTTATTACTATTGAGATATTTTGAAGATCCGAGATATTTTATTTATATATCATTACAATAATTTACTTCACTGTTAACTCAGGTTCTTTTAAATTAATACTTTATACTGTATACTTTGTGCACAAACTACTTTTACAATAGTTTGTTTAATATAATTGTGAAATTAATTGTAAAAATTTATTATTAAAAAATAATAAAGAAAAAATCAAATAAGTGACCTTAATAAATAAAGATGTTATTTCGAAATCTCAAATATTAAAAAAATAAAGATCTCATCATGGAATCCATCATCAATTCAGATATCAAAAAAAAAAATAAAAAATACATTTACCAGGGAAATCCATTATCAAACCTTTAATATATTTTTGAATGCATCCCCAAGTGAGAATATAATAAATAAAAAAGAGCCTACCTTATTTGTCGGAATTTTGAATTCGATATGTAAGAAACACGTACTGTTAAAAACTAATTGATACAATTTTTGTAATTTAGGATTCAATTATTATTAAATATTTAAATTTCTAAATCGTATAAACCAAAAATTTATTATTATTATTAAATAATAATAATAATAATAATAATAATAATAATAATAATCATAATAATAATAATAAATAATAATAGGATTATGTTTTTAAATGGTAAAATTTCGTCACACCTGTTGAATATCAATTTTTATTATCTTGGTTTTTTAGCATGTGAAGACCATATCTGTCACCAATAAACCCCATGCCCCAAACGCAGGTAGTTAAACATGCTATGTTAAAAATATTAGATAATCAAAATAATGAGGATGAGAGTTTAATGAAATACTAGATTTTAGTGGAATTTAAATGTAAATTCTTGTATGTAAATGTGGCATCAATCGAATATATTATAAGTACATAAATATCAAAAAACGGTTTGTTCTTTTATTGGTCTCCGATTTTTTTTTTTTCGTTTTGATTCTATGCATTAAAAATACCGAATATATTAAGTTTCCTTGCCTACATGCCGCCAAATTCAAAAAATGAAATATTAACAATAGGATTAGCAAAATTTTATTGTTAATATTTCCTATTTTGAACTTGAGGATTCAATGTTCCAGACGATCCAAATATCGAATATATCAAATATCCAATTTTCTATAATTGCTAATGTCATTATCATGCATGAGATATTTAAAGAAATACGATATGTCAATGTAAGCGATATTTTTTTAGACATAAAACATCGAATATCCGATGTTCTGGACGTATTTTGTGTATTTAATATCGCGAATGTCATGAATTACCATTAAAAATGAATAAGTATTTAATTTTATTAACGTTCTACACATATTTTAAAGAATATCATGAATCTGCCACGAATACATGTTATGAATAAAGATATATGATAACCTTACTTCATTTATACAGACAGATAAGTAGCATCCCCACAAAAGTCAGATCCACAATAGATACTTAAACATTAATACTCATTAAGTTAGCTTAAAAACAAAGCATTGGTTATAAATAATTCAGAACATGCATATATTTTATAAATGTAATTTATTCATTTGTAGATAATTATATTTAATAATTAATTCTAAATTATATAAGTTATGCATATAATTCATAAGACGCGAAAATAAGTAAGGTATATAAAAAAAAAAAAGAGAAAGAAAGAAATTTTTTTATTTTGGAATCTACAAAAGGTATACCGAAACCAACATAAAACTTGATTTATGTTTTATTTAATGTATCTCTCACGCTTCTAACTATTTTACCTTTTCTTATTATTCACGAAAACATACACACATATACAACAAACAAGCATACGTACACACGCTCGCGCAATCACTTACACTCAAACACATACTCATTCATTGATTTGTTTACTCACGTACTCTCATACATTCATTGATCACTTTTGCTCACACTCATTGATTCATTCACACGCACGCTCGTTTGGCCGGAAAACAAACAAACCTGCTAAATCTACTAGTATTAAACTGGACAATACAATAAGGGATCCTTAATTTGGAAGTTACTTCTTGGAGAAAAGCGAATAATTTTCGTTATTCTTTTTTTAGTACTATTAAAAGTTATTATTCTTATTTTTATTTTTCTTCTAATTATTCTTTATAATTAAATATTCTACATTCTATATTTTAATGGTACTCTGTGGGATTCGTGCATGAAACATGAAATGTGTATACATATAATTTATTAATGTAAAATATACTTTCAATCACTCCATACTACAAAATAGAGCCATTTTCATCCTTTCATTTTCTCTTATTCTTCTCTTCCCCATTTTTGACTCTAATCTAATTTTCTTGTTTGATGTCTGTCGCTCATTTTTCTAATTTTGTTTGTTGTTGCCTTGTTGTGCTGTTGCTTTGGTTGTTATTATTATTATTGGTTTGATATCGCATCATCGTTAATCATTTTTAAAATCATTTTGTTAGTTTAAATTGATTATTATTTTTTATTTGTCGCTTTTACTTTGTTTTTTATATTTTGATATTTTTATTTTGATATTTTTTAATTTATGCTTTTATTTCAAATTTCTTTTGGTTTCATTTTATTTCATTTCTTTATTATTTTACTTTATATTTCTAGAGAATATTCACATCGCACCGATTACCGAAATAAATAAGTAAATTGCGTATAAATATTTCTAACTTTATATATATATTTTTTTTTTTTTTGCAATACATCTTTATTTTTTATTGTAATGCACGCGCCGATAATGTGCCAGTGCTAAAAAAAAATAAATAAGCAAATGAAAACTATATTATTATTTAATATTAAAAATTTCTTAGAAGTCACAACAGATTATATTCTTTTTTTTTCAGCGACAATCCATTTCGAGTGACACCATACTTACTTAAATATATGCCCTTTTTTATATAATTTTACATTAGCGTTTGAATAGGATTCTATAAATAACTTGAATAACTCAATATTATTCGTATGCCAAATTTATTACACGGCAATACATGCATTAATTTACATTATATTTTATAATAAGGAGTCGAATAAAGTTAAACATATAAAAAAAAATAATAATAACAAAAAAGTTTAAAATTCAATCACTACCTACTAAATAATAAATTATGAAGTAATAATATTAATAATAATAATTAAATATATAATTTAATGAAAATTATTATTTAATAATCTTTTGTTGCTAATTATTAATCCTATCCTTTAATTCTTTTATTTTGAATAAACTTTGCAATTTTTTTCCTGCCGCGTTAAATTAAAATCATAACCACCAAAATCATCACCTTTTCTTCAGAAAATGGCTGTTTGGATTGCTAGATTATTTGGATATTATGATTTATAATACAAGCTCTTGGAGTAATAAGAACAATATATCAACAATTTGCTACAAAGTGTAAAAGCCTTTATAAAAAAAAAGTTAAAAATAAGAAAAGACAATCAATCTAAAAATACGATAAAATTAAAGTTTAAATCAAGATTCTCGCGAATTATTTCATTATAAATTTTATTGGTTCTCTTTTTAATTTTTCAAATAAAAAAAAAACCCAAAGAATTAACTCGAATTTTATTTTCTTTTATTCATTTTGATCCATAAATTGTACATTACCCATTTTCATTCTCTCTCTATACAAATAAGTTACAAATCAAATGTTCCATATTGTAAGAATAAAGGAAGCAAAGAATAATTTAAGAAATTTTAAGAATAACGTTAAAAGTTTCGAAAATAATATGAAAAAGTGCCACGTCTTTCTTATTTTATGTTTTTGAATGAATAATTTTTTTTTTTAGATTTAATAAGTTTAAGTTTCGAAATTATCCCAAATAAAAGAAGAAAGTTCATTAATTTTAAATTTAAAAAATATTAAAGGTTTTCACTCTTTGAGCTAAATCGATATAATCAGATTTTTCTTGACTTGTTGAATTTCTCCACAAGTAACTCGCTACACCAGCGATTATCATTTTATTATTTTCTCCCAATCTTTGGCATTCTCTAGAGACAAAAATTCTGCACAACATTTGCCCGTGACATTTTTTGTGACTTCGAAAAGGCCTTCTAGAATTGAAATGGTGGGTAACTTCTTCAATTGAAAATAACGGAGGAAAGATTAATGTTCTGTTTATATTAGCGAGAAGATTATTTATGTTGTTCATTTGAAAATATTTTTGGTTGAAAAAAATAAAATCGGTTTTATAATTTTAAATATTGAACAAAGAAATAAAAATGAATTTTTTAATAGACGTAGAAAATGTAGAAAATTATTTATTATAGGAAAGATTTTTTTTAAGCACTTAAATATGTAATTTTTCACTGGTCAGTTTAATAGATCGCTATTATAAAAAGGCAAAAAAGAAACATTTCTGTAGTACTTGACATCAGCAGAAAAGATAATTATGGACAGTGTAGTCTTGGAAATGAAAAGAAAGTTATTTAATGGTTACTCGAAATCAACCGAATGGGTATAATGCAGTCTTGGAACCACTAAAACATGAAAAGAAAAACATTTAAATGAGGCTTGAAATTAGCCGAAGTGTGAAACATACTTTATCAAATAAACTTGAAAAAATTAATAATTTTCATAAATCATAAATTCGGATTGATTAAGATCAAAAGCCGTTTCTCGTTATTGTACAATTCCTACAATTCCTTGTATAATTTATTGACAAATATCGTTCTTATAAGTGATATTATCAAATAGTGCTATTTCACATTCAATAGAAATCTAAATAGTTGTATGAATGAGTGAATGCATTTATGTTTATATATAATTCAGTACAGTGCTGAGTAATAGTCGATGATCAAAATATTAGCCAAGAAACTAGGAAACTTTCTCTCTATGATTAAATCGTTATAATATATATTTATAATGTTCATGATGTATATTATGTTTATCCAAATTCAGAGATAAGAATAAGGCGAATCAATAGATTTATCATAATTAATATTGGAGTTTGCGAAACATGACCCAACAAGAATGTCACATCAAGTTCCATTATTTGAATCTGATGTGTTAAATTATTTTTCACTAGGATGTACTGAAATTTTAATTGTTAATAAAGGTTCTATATTTCAAAAGTGGTATTGAAAGTTTAATTGATAAAAGAGATCATTATTATGCGACAAATTCGTGACAGTTTATAAGTCGATTATATTGTTTCTTGGAGCAATCAAATCATTAATTTTATTTATTTATTTATCGAAATCCTTTAGCCTTATAAAAACTGTTTGTTCCACGAATTGTTTATAAATCATGTGGAAGCATGATAATATAAATTATTTATTAGTTTCATTTATACAGTTTGTGCACATAAAAAAGCCTTCTATTTTCCGTCATATGATGTAAATTTACACGAGAGTTAATAAAAATTATCGATTGTTTCGTATATATATATATCTTCACCAGGGACGATGATCTACAGAAAACCGCAGAATTTTTGTAATAAATATCACAGAATCATATGATTAAGTAGTGACCGCCAAAAACATATTATATTTCAATGGTGATAAATTTTCAAATTTTAATAATAAAAATATATCATATATTAAAAATAGACATCACATTTAAGACGCATAATTTTTATCTACCAAAACAGAATTTAGTCTTAGTCACCGCAGAAAATCATCGTTTCGCAAATTAAGTGTTGCGTTTAACAAGTTTTTAAATACAAAAATTTCCCATTAAAACCAAGGATCTGATCTATATATGAAATTATCGGAAGCGAAGTTAACTGTAAATGTTGTATAACAAATAAAATTGTGCATGTGCTAAATTAAGTCTAGAAATTTCGAAGGGAACGAAGGAACATACCCTAATAAAATATTGTGATAAAAGATTTAGAACATTCCATTCTTACCAACTATTCCAATTAAATTTGAAATATTATTTCTGATCCTTGCAAAAAAATCAATTGTAAATTTTTGGTGTGAATAATTATAATTAAATATATACAGTGACTCTTCTCGTCATACGGGTTATATAATTTCCACCATCAACTGTCGCTTGTGAAAACACTAACCGTCATTCTTCATGGATTTATGGAGATGACATAGGAAATGTGCTAATATGGTGCTTTACGTCTTTAAACAACAATGGTTCAATTTTGTTTACTGATATTTTTTAGTGATTTAATTTTTTGGTCCCAATTTCTAAACAGAAATCTATGTGTTTATACTGTATAATTCGCTTAAAAATTTAGGTTACATTAAACACGTAAAGAAAGAAATTTATTGATAAAAATTATGATTCAATTTTATTATTTTTATTTTAAGGTCATTAGTAAGGGATATCATATTTTTAAAGCTAATAACTATTTAAATAAGATCCAATCAAAATTCTGGCACATATGTAAGTAAACCAAAGCTATCGATTTTCTGTAGTATTTTTTTGTGAATTCATTTTTCCGAATTTTTCCGAAAATAGATGCCTTTTAAAGTTAACCTAAAAATTTCTTAGGGTTAAGACATAACGCACTATATTATAATGGTACTTCTAATAACTGCAGTTTTGTTGGCAGTTTGTTGACAGCATTATGTATTTGTGGTATTTGTTTACAGGAGAAAAGAAAATAAATAAAAAATTCTAAGAAAGAAAAAAGGATAAATCTTTAATAAAGAGATAGCATAGATAATATTTATGCATTGAATTAATTAAATTCATTTTAAATCCTTTTTGTATTGAATAAAGAAATAAGAAATATTTATTGCATTTAATATTTCCGATTTTTACTTGAATTATAATAATAGCTTGCGTAAAATTCACCAATACTATACTATTTTATCTCTTGACGAGTTCCTTTATTTTATTACCCAGAAAGTAACTATTTAATTCCCCAGAAAGTAGCGATTTTGTTCCCCAGAAAGTAGCGATTTTCCTTAAAAGCCTCAAACTATTTTTTTTTTATAAATAATTATAGTCAAATTATATAAAATAATGTTCCTGATTGAAATAGACTAAAAAAAATGTAAATAATGTGAAATATCATTAACAAAGTAATAAAAATAATTATTAAATTATGCACTTACAGTATATTGTACTTATTGATATTTATTTTTCTCATATTAGTCTTGAAAGACTATATTCATTATTATTATTTTATACAATCTTATCTAATCATAGAAATAGTTAAGATCATCCCACCACTTACACTCAGACTTCGTATAATTTGTTTCTATTTCTCACTTGATTCAGAACCATTTATTTGAAACTTTAATTGGTATTCTTATAAAAGCTCAAACTATGCATTTTATTCAACTTACTCTTCCAATAATGGTCTAAAATAGGTCAAAATAATGATCTTTAAGTTTTTCATTTGAATGTAAAGATAAATTTGCATAATTACCTATATTTTATGATTTATTTTTAGTCATATTAAAAATAAAGTTTCAATAAGAAATATTAATAATTTCTGATTGTTTATTATAAATACACAAATAAAAAGTAAACTAAAAATTATAAATCAAAATATAAATTAACAAAAAAAAGCATATTAATATTTAAATTATACATATATTATTTTTCCCAAACAATACTAAACATTGGTTGGGATTGTTTTACAACATAGTCTTTATTCATCAAATCTTGTCTCCAGGTTATTAAATCTTTCTTACATGGATAATTGATCATTATCATTTGTAGCAGGACCTGGATGATCAGATAAAAGTTCATTACTTGATTTATTATAACCGAAATTCTTTAACAATTTCTTCATCAATAATTGAAATTTTATGACTTGTTGTAATAGATTCAATAGAATCCAAATCTATAGTACTTGAAGAACTTTCATTTTGGTATGTTGATATCTTTTTGAATTATCTAAAATTTATAATAAATTTAAATTAAATTAAATAGACAAACTTAATTCGTATTATTATTGAAAACATTTTTGTGGGAGAATTCATATGCAAGTTTTTATTGACAGTTATCACCTTGATTATCATCATCCTTGTAACCATCATTGCTGTAATCAAAATCTGTTAAATCTGTTAAGGAAATCAAAAAAAGATGAGGAATAAAAATTGTGTATTATGAGTTGGATGAGAATTTATTGAGTTAAGTCAGATCAGTTGATGCTTGAATCTTTTGAGCATTACAGGCAGTTCTCTATTAAAAAGTTTCATTGCAAAACTTCTTTTAATGTGATCTTCTTTGCTTGTGTTATCATTTGTTATCTTACTTGGAT